GAGGTACGGTCACCGAGGCCAAGATCTGGTGATTGGTCGCCAAACTCCTTCGAGATGGCTAATCTCTTCAAGTCTCCAACAAGAACACCTGGCTTCTTCACAAACCCAGTGGCTCTCATCGTTTTAGGGTTCACTTCGATCTCTGTTCCCAAAACTTTATCTCCTCCCAAGTAATCCTTAACGAAAGGCTCAACCATTACTATCGGATTTGCAGTGACCACCACTTTCCTCTTGCATTTATCAAACACCTCGTAACTGTCCTTCCTCACATCCGCCGCGTAAAACCTATTTTATTATTATTCACAAAAATAAAAATAAAAAATCTCATTGGAACTTATGATGAATCAAGATTGGTTGTATGTATACCGTGGAAGAACGGCGCGAGAGACGAGTTCGATGTCGCGGATTTTGATGCCGGCGAAGGAGATGTAGATGAGGATCTGGATTCCGATAGCCTCGGAGACGAAGAGGTAAGCGATGATGACGATGGGGAGAGATAGGAGGAGGATCAATCCACGGAAGAGACTACCTGCTTCGATGGCAACGAGCATGAAATAAGGGAAGGAGCTTCGAGAGAGGAGCAGAGTCCCGTCGAGATCTGCAGCGATCGAATCATACTGATCTCCACTTTTACACTCACTTATCGGAGGAAAGCTTCGACTCTTCTTCTTCTTCGCCGGACACATTTTTGTCGAATCTCTCTTTGATGGTAAACAGAGAGAGAAGAGAAGGGTCTTTATGAGAAGAAGAGGTTTTTGTTAATCTTTGAAAGAAAGAGAGGGAAGGAAGGAAGGGATCGTGTTTCTTCTTTGTTTTAAATGCGCGCATTCCCTACCAATTTATATTCTCACTCCTATCCAATATGACCTCTTTACTAATTTATCCTTCAACTATCATTTCTAACAATTATAACCCTGTGTTTCAAAAAAAAAAAACAATTATAACCCTGATTCTCACTTCTCATTTCTCACGAAAATAATATAAATTCCACATCACAAGAGTCATTCCATAGATTTCGACTTAAATCATCCCTCGATTCTAATATATTACTACTTTTAATATGAAATCATCCACCTCTTGTAATCATATTTATTACTTTAATAATAATAGGACTATATGAGTTATAATTCAATATATACTAGGTTATTACATTATTATATAAATATAATGAAAATTGATGAATGTTATCTATCAATGGTGGGGATCAATGTGTAATTAAATACTATCTTTTAGGTCAGACTAAAAGAAAAGCCTTAATTTATTTATTTGTTGATCGACATGAAAGAAAGTAGCTTAGCAGCTCACCTAACCTAAATAGAAGGCCGTCTAATTAGTTGAGTGGCTCGTTAAAATAACCTGACCATCTACGGCTTACCAATTAATGTCTTTAAGACTTCTTGTGACCATGTTATAGTTTGCAGTTGTGTATTCAACTTAACTTGATATTCTAGGCTATATGTATTGAACAAGTCAATATATTTTCGTCTCGATGTCGACTAACCATAAATTTGTCTACTTAGTGAACTCTTCCAATTTTTTAATAGAATTACAATAGTTTTGTTTTCTTGTAGCAAGGTCAATGATATATTAATAAAATGGTAGATGGTTGGGAGTTGGACCACCCTTCAACCATGCAATTTTTTTTTAGAAAGGGCTTTTTAATCAACCATGCATTCTTATATGTAACAATTTATTGATTTCTTTAAATACGAACAAAAGCGTGAATATATTGTGCACCAGTCAGTATCAGTATATATATGAATATTACACAATATACAACTAATCTACTATCGCCGTTGAGGCAGCAACCCACCACGTGAACCTTTTTTTTTTCATCTGAAGTTATATTGATCCAAAGGTGAAATACATAAGCTGGCAGAAAGGGGAAATAGACATGAATATATATGCAATGCACGTGAAAATTATCGCTGAAGAATTATATGATGTAAGTAATAAATTCTTTAAATTATTTTTGTTCTCAGCTTCCGTTGGGGAGGAAAAAAATTAGTTTAAAATTGACTACTTTTTTTTTTTTGATAAAGGGCTAACAATGACTACTTGGGAAGGAAAAAAGATTAGTTTAAAATTGTTACTGTAAGAACCACTATTTGAGATCTGATTCTGAAATTCTTAATAATAGCTACAGCCCTTTATTTAGCATTATTAACCATCAGGCAAATCATTGGTTGATGAATTTGAATTAAATCCGGCCAAGAAAAACTATATGTTTCATTTAGCTACAGATAATATTATTTTGAATTATGTTATTTTTAATTTATCTTAAGCAATATAAAAATATAAAGAGTTCACAGTTCTATATGTTTCATTTAGCTACGGTTAATATTATTTTGAAAAATTTAATGAAGTATTTTCTAAAAAATAAAGAAAAACTTATATACTTTTATTTTTTTATGTGTTCAATCACAAATAGAAGAGACGTGTACCATGGTGAAAAGCGGAGAGATACAAACACACAGAGAGCAAATCATGGCGATGTACCCTACAACATCAACCCGTCTCTGTCCATGTAGATAATAGAAGGTAAGGAAGGAGATTTACTTTTGTTTGTTTCTCCCATAGGAAACTAAAAGATCGTACAGATTCGTATCTGTAATTTTTCAGAACTAAGTGATGAGGAAAAAAGCTTTGACATTTCAAACAGATTAGTATTTTGACATCTCAATAAAAAGCAAGCTAACATTGGTCTTGATTTACTGCGGTAAATTGTATTATATATATAATTCTTCAGTTATATATTATGCATCTTCTTCGATCCATTCTTAGCAATTTTTAGTATTTCGTTCTTTCTTATTAATTTTTACTTATGTTCTCCTAATTTTTACATCTCCTTGTGGCAAACAGAACAACAACTATAAGAGAAAAGACGTAGAGTTGTTGTTGTTGTACGTTTCATACCAAAAAAAAAAAAGATTTTCCGAGTATTTGGAAGACTAGGAGTGTAAGTAGTAAAATCAATTCTGTAATAAAAAGGACTCGACAAAGGTTAATGTTATCATTTTAGAATTCGAATATACACCCAATAAAAAGCAATTTTTAGTATTTTGACATCTCAATAAAAAGCAAGCTAACATTGGTCTTGATTTACTGCAGTAAATTGTAATATATATATATATATATATATATATATATATATATATATATATATAATTCTTCAGTTACATATTATGCATCTTCTTCGATCCATTAATTCTTAGCAATTTTTAGTATTTCGTTCTTTCTTATTAATTTTTACTTATGTTTTCCTAATTTTTGCATCTCCTTGTAGCAAACAGAACAACAGCTATAAGAGAAAAGATGTAGCGTTGTTGTTGTTGTACGTTTCACACCCAAAAAAAAAAAGATTTTCCGAGTATTTGGAAGACTAGGAGTGTAAGTAGTAAAATCAATTCTGTAATAAAAAGGACTCGACAAAGGTTAATGTTATCATTTTGGAATTCGAATGCACACCCAATAAAAAGCAATCTCTATAATATTATTTGAGAAGTCATTTTCCTATGTGTCGGTCACGTTCACTCTTACGATGGTTGATTACACCAATACCCTTAATGAATTAAAAAAGTTAAAATAGTATTATTCATTCTTTTATTTAGTTTTCTTTTCAAAAATTTCCAAAAATATATGTAATAAAAAGGAAATTTTTTATAAAGTCATAAAAAACAAATTGAAAACGAAAATATATGTATATATAATATGATTCCATAAAAAAAAATTTCACAAAATAGTAATAATACATTTAAAAATATTTGTAAATAACATAAAATATACTTTTAGAATAATAAAAATAGTTTATAATTAATATTATTGATTTTTTCAGATATTTAGTTGATTATAATACCTTTCAATTACAGAAAATTATCTATAAATTATATTTTACTTATATAATATTATTTTCAAATACAATCACAATTTTGTGTAGTGCTTATTGTTAAGAGATTTTAAAAGTAAAATTAAATTTAACAATAAACATCGCTTGATCAAAGAATTAACGATTAGTTTAGTGAGCTAGATATATGATATTTTATCATTATTAAAATTTTGTTTTCTTAATATTAAATTTTGTTTTAAATTTTATGTTTTTATGTTTGTGAAACTAAATATAACCATAATCAAAATACCAAAGAAAATCTGAATTTCCAATTTTAATATTATTTAAAATAAATTTCAATTTACATTCAATAGATCTGAAGCATAAAGTTATTTAGAATTTATAAATATTTTAATTATTGTAAATATTGATATGTGTTCATGAGCTTCCAAAAGTGTATCAACTATTTATATTGTAACCTTCTATTGATCATAGGATAACTCAAAACTTATGAGACTTTATAATATTATCGTTATATTAATTTACGTATTTTGGAATCATACACTTTAATTAATTTTTAATTCATTCTAAGCATAATATATCTTAAGTTATACATAATTTTCCTAAAATATATTTACATATCTAAGACAACACCCACTACATACAAATAAGTAGTTAATTAAAAATTAATATATTTTTAAAATATTACAGTTGAATTCAGAGATAATCAAATTTATCCAAATGATAATTAAATCAACCGTAAAACAACAAAGTCGACTAGATATAACATATATAAAATTATAGTATAATTAAATTAATATAATATTGTTAATATGAATATGCATACAAATTATAAATTAAGTTAAAATTAAAACTAAATAGTAATCAGTTATTATCATATATATTTTAAAAATATTTATACCTGTGCATGAGCACGGGAAAATCACCTAGTTTTTAGTATTTTGACATCTCAATAAAAAGCAAATTGGTCTTGATTTACTGCGGTAAATTGTATAATATATATATATATATATATAATTCTTCAGTTACATATTATGCATCTTCTTCGATCCATTCATAGCAATTTTTAGTATTTTGTTCTTTCTTATTAATTTTTACTTATGTTATCATTTTGGAATTCGAATACACACCCAGTTAAAATTTCTAAATATGAGCAGGATTTAAGATAGACAAACACACACAAGATAGACCATGAAAACATAAGACAATGAAAACAAGGGTTTAAACACAAGCATAGACACAAGAGTCTTAGAAACAAGTCTGACAACGAAGAGATAAAAAAAAAAGAGATTAGATAGACGGGAATAGTTTGATAACAAACAACAAAATAAAACAAAAGCAAAAAGAGTTTCCAGCTCCTTCCAAATCTCAAACTTGGACCTGGCAGATTAACATCTGCAACTGAACCTGCAAAATCAAAACATTCAGTTTATGTACATAATGAGCAATTCTCAAAAACTGAATTCCAAACAGAAATCGTAATAATAAACCTACACTTAGCCATTGCCCATTGAAGAGGAGGTCGCGTTTCCTTTTGTGCAGAGGAGGGGTTGCTTGACTTGGACTAAGCTTGGACGGTAAGAGGAAGAGCAAACAAGTGGGGGAACAAAACCTTGAAAGGGCTCTCCGGAATCAGGGCAAAGGAGTGGGATATAGGTAACCTGTGCGAGATCAACAGAGTGGATGTAGCCGGCTTGTCCAAACACAAAAGCCTTGTTTTGATGAGGAGTAAAGGTGGATAGATACTCGTCTAGTTCAAACACCACAGCAACTTTGTTTTCCTCATCAACAAAGAAGCTCCCACCTAAATAAGTATCAAGCCTAAACAAGGACGTCAAAGCAGTCGTTTCCACTCGCAAAAACTTGTTCCAGGACAAGTTGTCGGGGGCCTGCTCAAGCGTGAGGGTAACCCAAATCTCAAAAAAGGTTGATTCAAAATCACCAAAGAGGACCGCAAGCTGCTCATCTCTAACGTTTGAGAGGGTCACGCAGTCTTCAATGTGAGAGTGAAAAGGAAGAGGGAGGCGTGGTCCAAACTTCTCTTTGGTAAAATCAAAACAGAGCAAGAAATCTTGAAAATCTGATGCGCAATTATCATATTGCTCATGAGCAAAAAAGTAGGTGTTTCCCTTGAGAGACACGCCTCGCTGATGCTGATCTATCTCTATCTCCCACATGGGCTTGGGCTCGAGGACTCTCCATGAATCAGAGCTAATTTCATAGATTTCGCTCCTGAAAACGTGTGTTGTTGGTCCGGGCCCGGGGGCACTGTAATCTTCCACAAACCTCAGGATTTTGTGGTCGCGCTGCTGCTTGTCGTCTGAGTTGTATCCGATCGCGTACGTGTCTCTTATGTTGAAGTTTTCTCCTCCTAACCTCGGTCCGATCCACCTTGTTTGGCACATGTAAGGGTTCCACACCACCAGCTTCGAGTGGTCGAAAGGCACGCATAACACCAACCCATCGCAGTGATATACCTCGGATATATCCAACTGATTAAGAAAATCTACCTGCTTTACATCAACCAAATCTTCGCCGATATTGTACCTCAGAGAGTAGACCTTCGCATTCATCATCATGAACCCCACAAACTCATGCGGCGCTGCTTCTTCTGCTTCTTTACCCATAACCCAGCTGCTTTTGGTTATAGCCTCGCAAGTAGATACAACCGCCGGAACCTTCGTCAGTATCTTCTCTCCAACCCCAAGATCGCTCATCCTCTTTCCAACTCGAAATATTAGGGTTTTCCTCGATATCTGTTTTCGCCTTGGTCGTCTATTATTCATATCTCTCTCTATATATATACTTATGTCATGGGCTATCTATGAACATGCCTATTTTTGGGCCTAACAAGCGTATGCGAATTAATCAACACATTGATTGATATAAATAAACGTGAGCTCTAAGGCCCAACCAAAGGTTTGATTTTGAGTGGAGAGATAGTCGTGTGAAATGAAAAGTGAACTTGAAAGAGTCAGCAGAAGAGTAGGTGAATGTCACCGTTGACAGGGAGAGGAACCCAACCGTATTGAATAATACTTTTCCCCCAGTTGAGCTGTCTTCCTTCATATAGGATCCATCCATTCCCTTTCTTTCTTTCTTTCTTACACTCTCTTTCCTCCCCAAATCTCGAGATCTGTCTCCCAGAGATACGGAATGGAAAATAAAGAGACCAAGCAACAAGTGGTGGAGAGTGTAACAGCAGAAGAAGAAGCTGAGCAAGAGAATGGGACGACGTTGATAGAAGATGAGATCGAGAGGAGCAAAGTCGGCATCATGAGAGTCCTTTGCGACCGACAAGATCCCTCCACTAAGGTGTCCCTTAATATGTTTACTTTTCAAATCTTGTTTTTTTCTGTTGTCCTTTTAAAAGAAAAAAAAAAGAAAGAAAAAAGTCACTTTACTTTGGTTGACTTGTTTTAAAAAAAAAAATAGTAATTAGGAGAACTAACTTGACGTAGCAGGCTCTTGTTTAAGAGTTGGCATAGAGTAAAAGTGTACCAACATACTGTAGTTTTGTGGTAATGAATGTTGTTTGAATTGGTGTCAGGAAGTGGATGACCTGATGATCAGGCGGTTTTTGCGAGCACGAGACATGGACATTGAAAAGGCTTCAACGCTCTTTCTCAAGTACCTTGCCTGGCGAAAGAGTGTTCTCCCAAATGGGTGCATACCTGAATCAGAGATTGCCAATGATCTGTCGCACGAGAAAGTGTGTATGCAGGGACATGACAAGATGGGTCGTCCTATCGTTGTTTCCTTTGGGAACAGACATAACCCTTCCAAAGGCAACCCTGACGAGTTCAAGCGTGAGTTACTTACTTACTACCCACACCATTTCCCCCTTTCCTTACCTCACTCTTTTTCTTTCTTTTTTTTTTTGTTATCTTCGGCCAGGTTTTGTAGTCTACACGCTGGAGAAGATATGTGCAAGGTTTGTTATCATTCATTATAAAATCATTCCAAACCTTTTCAAGTTGTTAGTTATTAAACCAAACCACTTTATCCTCTTAATACAACCCTTATTTTTTTTTTGGTTTCATCTACTTAAAGAATGCCAAGAGGTGTAGAAAAATTCATAGCCATAGCAGATCTGCAAGGGTGGGGCTATTCTAATTGTGACATCCGGGGTTACCTTGCTGCTCTTTCCACTTTGCAGGTAACCATCACACAATTGTCTCTTCTCATCTCAATTCTTGGGGAGGGGTTCAAGGATTTCTAAGAAAAACACTCTTCTCTTTAAATTGATAAACTTGTTGCTTTTTTTTTAAAGGATTGCTACCCAGAGAGACTAGGGAAACTATATATAGTTCATGCCCCCTACGTTTTCATGACCGCATGGAAGGTTATTTACCCCTTTATTGACACCAACACCAAGAAAAAGGTAGCTCATGCACCCACAAAACACCACCCGTCTCTTATTTATCTCTGTGATTTGTTTTCAAGCTTGGATTGTTAATTTTGTATGTGGGGGTGGTTTGAGCAGATTATTTTCGTGGAGAACAAGAAACTCACTGAAACTCTGCTTGAAGACATTGACGAAACCCAACTTCCAGACATCTACGGTGGCAAGACGCCACTTACTCCTATTCAGGACTCCTAATGATTGATGTCTTACTTACTAGTCAAGCCCCAACTCTCAATCTCCAAGCTATTACCCTACTATTCTTTTGTATTTTGAATAAAACTGAAAAACTTATCAAGAGTGTTGGCCAATTTTATAGCTAGTTTATAAAGAAGAAGCCACAAAAGATATATATATTGATATTTTTAATTTCTTATTTATTTCATTTGTGGATTTGGTCCCTTACTGGCTCTTCCCTGCCACTCTGATAGATTTATATAATGATGTCTGATCAACAATTATATACTTTAAGCTAAATCAATGCAAGAGAATATATACAACAGATTTACTTAAATTCTTCATAATAGTTGATGTTGTATATGTATCAACCAACACCTTGAAATAAATCCATAAAAACGAGTCATATCAAATTTTCTCACACTCTAATAATAAGAAGAAGAAGGCATTATCATCACCTTTGGAAAGTGAGATTATTAGGCAAAAGGTGTTTTGTTAATCAGTACATGCGAGAGTGAGTGCGAACACAAGAAGCTGATCTGTTGTCTTTGGTTAGAGGTTTGGTCTCTCTTAGATAAGCTCTAGTGATCTCCACTCCTAGATTGGGGTTCCTCTGCACAAAGGTCTCGTATTTCATGGGAACAACCACTTCTTCCATATGTTTAACCACATGGTTGATGGCAGCGGCTTTCAAGATGGTGTCAGAAGGAATGCTGGCGAGCTCGAGGATGTCAAGAACGTTCCTGGAGGTGAGAGATGCAATGAAATGGTTGCGGCATACGTCTTGGAGATAGGGAATGTCTAATTTGTCGGCAGCGAGATAGAGGGCTCGGTATTGATTGTAAGGAGCAATCAAGTTGCCGCAGTAGAGGAACTCGAGAAGAGAGTAGAGCTCGTCGTGGTTCAAATCGGGGAGAGTGATTGAATTCTCGGCAGAGGCCTTGCATTCATCGGAGTCTAGCATGTTCCTGAAGACCTTAGATCTGGCAGACTGCGAATAAAATGGAATGTTAATAAGAGAGCAGAATGAATGAAGGAATGATCATGGTGGAAGTGTAAAGAAGAAGAAGGGGTTTAGGGGAAGTGGTTACGAGGAGGGCCTTGTGTGTAGGAATGGGAGGAGATTGATCACCAGGATGAACGAGAACATCAGTGTGCATCTGCTCCTTGAAAGAGACAACAAGTCCTCCCAGGAAAGCCGCCTTTTGTGCTGCTGCTTCTGACATTACTTTGTTATACACATGTGTCTGTCTTATTAGTTGTAAGAATTATTAGCCGAGACATATCCTAAACCTAAATAAGTACAAAAGCATTGAAAGGCTCCCTAGAGTTAACAACGTTCAACACCCCCCACCACTCCTAAAACCCACAGGATTCAATCGATCTTACTCGAAAAAAGTAATTTGGAAAAATGACAGATGGATTCTAAAATTGGGATCTTTACCTCGAGTAGCGAGAGAGATCGTCGTCTGCTTCTTTTCCTTCACTTACAATAGATATCTTCAGGTAAGATCTCAGTAGGATGAGAGAGAGAGACTCTTTCTCTTGACTTGATACGATGACTTATAATGATTGTCCTCCTCTACCATTGTTGGGAAAATATTTGCTAATATCTATTTAATTCTTATTTTATAATAAAACTACTCGGAAGATAAAGCAAACAATTATATATTCCATTAGTTAACAAATAGTATCTAAAGTAAGTTTACTACTCCACTTATTCATTCACAAAGTAATAATAATCCATTAGTAAGTGCGATTCTAAAGGGATTGATATTGATTTGTTTATGTTGGATTATATGAAACAAGTTGTTAATAAGTTGTATGTCATATATTATATATAGATACCGCGTGGTTCTGGTTATGGTTCTCGCGAGATATCTTCAAGCAGAGGACCTGACATCCTCCAAGGAAGTGGACGCTGCTTCAACTGTGGTCTTGATGGACTCGGGGCTAGAGATAGAGGGAGGTCACATTGAGAGGAACGAAGTGCAAGAACAGTCCCAAGAAGCTCAAGTAGTACATACACACCTTAATACAATGCTTTTGTTGTGTGTGTTTCTAATCCTTGTTTCTTTTATTCAGGCGGGACCAAAGTTACTCGAGATCATCACCAGTTAGGTCTCGATCACCTCCTCGTCGTAGAAGAAACCGACGCAGAAGCAGAAGCAGAAGCAGAAGCCCAAGCTACAGGTTTATATTTTCTTTTTTATCACATTAACATCACTATAAGCTCTTAGTTTACACAACATTTGATGAACTTGCGTTTTTATAAGACTTGTAATGCTTTCCTTGCAGACAGACCTGTATGGTATGGAATGGATTATTATTGTTTTGTTTTTGTTGACTTTCACATTCTATGTATGACTCACTCTGTTTTATTTTTTTCTCCTTTTTCTTTAAAAATTGTAGCTTCTCGTTCAATACGAAATGTAAGCTGCTCCAAAGTTGAAGAAAGAAGACTAAAAGTCTCTGTTCATATAATGTTTTTGTGTTCCCAACGTGTAGCTAAATGTTACCGTTGTTAAATGAAAGCTTATCTAATGTTACCGTTGTTAAATGAAAGCTAAAGGTCAATGTAGCCATCTCTTCCTCCTTTATCCATCTTCTTCTTCTTCTTCTTCTTCTTCCATCATCAAAAACAGATTCTCTTTCGCATCCATGTCGTCTTCAAGAGAAAACCACAGCTCCTTATGGCTCCTGGAAGTCCCCCATCACCGCCGACATCGCTTCAAAGCGTCTGGGCGGAACCGCCGTCGATTCCCTCGCCCCTCTCGTCTGGCTCGAGTATGAATCCGGGTACTTTGAGATTTCAGAGTTTTTTTTTTTTTTTATTTAAAAAAACTAAAACCCTAATTTAATGTAATGATTATTCTCTGATGATGATTGGTTGAAGGAGAGGGGTTTTGGTAATGAAAGGAGAAAACACCACCAAAAGAGTAGGCAGTGAGGACTTTAACTCAAGAAGAGTAGAGTGTGGTGGTGGTGGTGCTTTCCTGTCTTTCCTCACAGCTTGTTTTTCCCAATTACAAAGATCAATCAGCCACTTTACAACCAACATCTTCTTCTTCTTCTTCACAAAGGTACAAAAAACAACCAACCTCTCTCTCTCCCTCTCTTCTTCTTCTTCAATTATTATAGATTTGGCAACTTCTCATCATCATGTTTGTTTCTTCTACTTGTTTCAGATTCATCTCCCAAGCCAATCACCCCTGACTATGGTTACTTATGAGTCTTTGAATAACGCTACATTACTGTTAGGGAAGGTGAGTTGCTCTCTTTTTTTTTTTCTTTCTATAACTGATTTTCTGATTGGCTGGAATTTGTAGATGGTCGCCAGGACAGATCAAACCCTATTACAACCATTGTGGAGGTCAATCTAAGTGGACTTGAAGGTACTAATCATTATATTCAACTTTTTGTACTTCATATGGGATGTCGATTATGTTTCCAACTTTTTTCTTTTTCTTATTATTATTGACACTTACTTGCATGTTTTTCTATTTGATATTCCAGAACCAACAATGCTTGTGAGTGCCAATGATTTTTATGCGTTTCCACGATTTGGACCCCAAGTGTGAGCAGTTGGCTTGGATTGAATGGAGTCACCCTAATATGCATTGGGATAAAGCACAGCTCTTCTGGGTTGGCTACATATCTGAGGCCGGGTCAGTGAGCCTACTTCACTCCATATGGATTTACTTTAGAATTCTTAAGCACTGCTGCTTTTATTGTATTCCTTTACACTTGCATTGCTGTATTATTAATCAGAGAGAGACATCTATACCTTTTTTGCTTGCAGAACTATTGATAAACCGTGTATGTGTTGCTGGTTGTGATCCCGAGTTTGTGGAATCTCCTACTCAGCCCAAGTGGTCACCAAGAGGTATATATATTTGTCTCTGATAAAAATTATATGATCTACGATTTCCATTTCTTTCATATTCTACTTTATTGTCGAATTTATCAAGCAGTTGAATGACATATATGATACTTAAATACCTTAGGAATCGTATTGTATAGTTTGAATTCAAAGTTTTTTTTTTCTTACTGCACTTTTTTAATTCAAATTTTTTTCTCTTGATGTTTTTATTTTTTGCTTTGTAGGTGAGCTTCACAGGAAGTAAAAAAATGGAATCCTCTTTCTTCAGCCGTGTAAGGTATGGAATCCTTTTTCTTCTCTGTTTTTTTTTTTTTTTTTGGGGAAATTCTATATATTATCGGACTGATAGACCCTAAATTTTCATAATTTGTAAAACAAATAGAATGCGGCGTCCAGTCTTTGATTTGTCCGTTAAGTTTTGATTTGTCTTTACACATTTGTTATTTGGTCACTCAAAACCAGTAACCGTGATTGTCTAGATAAGCGGTACCGTGATTGTCTAGATAAGCGGTACCGTGATTGTCTAGATAAGCGGGGATTGGTAGACACTAAATTTATAGTGTGTAAAATAAATAGAAATGCAGCGTGCAGTCAATATGTCCGTTAGAGACGTTAAGTTTCATTATTGTCTTCACATTGTCATATTTGGTCACTCAAAACCAGTAACAAATTCTAGTTTTTTGGATTGGTAGACACTAAATTCATAATGTGTGAGACAATAGAAATGCGCAGTCATTTGCCTTTATACACTTTGTGATCAATTTAGTCAGTCAAAATCAGTTTGGTAATTAAGAGTTTCCCCATTCGTATTTTTGTTTGCGTGTTTCTGGTTTTTTTTTGTTTTCGTGTATGTCAGGTTAGGAATCAGTGATGCTGCGCTATGGAACTTGACGGTGAAGGCTTATCTGGATATGGGTTTTTAAAGAAGATGCTGTCGAGACCTGTCTTCTCAATTTCAGACAAGGTATGTGTTATTATAGTTTATCATTGATTGTGTGTACTGAAATTAGGAACTTAAGATAGAGAGATTCAGCAAATGGTTGTGTCATTTGTATTACTAGCTTAAGCCGTTCAGGTTTGGTTGTGATCTCTCTCTTAAGTTCCTATTTGATTACTTACTTCAGATAGTTTTTAATGTTTCTACTTTTTCAGGGAAGAGTAGTTGGGCATTTGCTCATTAGCTGAGCTTTGTAGAACCGTGGAAAGCCATTCATATGGCGACAATGTGTGTATGGCGACAAGATGGGTCGTCCTATCGTTGTTTCCTTTGGGAACAGACATAACCCTTCCAAAGGCAACCCTGACGAGTTCAAGCGTGAGTTACTTACTACCTACACCATTTTCCTCTTTTCTTACCTCACTCTTTTTTTTTTTTTTTTTTTTGTTATCTTCGGCCAGGTTTTGTAGTCTACACGCTGGGGAAGATATGTGCAAGGTTTGTTATCATTATACAATAATTCCAAACCTTTTCAAGTTGTTAGTTATTAAACCAAACCACTTTATCCTCTTAATACAACCTTTTTTTTTGGTTTCATCTACTTAAAGAATGCCAAGAGGTGTAGAAAAATTCATAGCTATTGCTGCTCTTTCCACTTTGCAGGTAACCACCGCACAATTTTCTCTGCTCATCTCAATTCTTCAAGGCTTCCTAAGAGAAACACTCTTCTCTTTAAATTGACAAATTTCTTGTTATTGTTTTGTTTTTGTAAGGATTGCTACCCAGAGAGAGAAGATTATTTACCCCTTTATTGACACCACCACCAAGAAAAAGGTCAATATATTTTTTAGATCATGCATACACACCATCCATCTCTTATTTATTAATCTCTGTGATTTGTTTGAAACTTGGATTGTTAATTTTTGTGCGGGGCAGATTGTTTTCGTGGAGAACAAGAAACTCACTGCCACTCTGCTTGAAGACATGGACGAAACTCAACTTCCAGACATCTACGGTGGCAAGACTCAACTCTCCATCTCCAAAATATAAACAAACATAGGTGCTAGCTGGCCAGTATTCTTTTTTTTTTTCTTATTTCTGGAAAACATATTTTTTCCTTTCGAATATTTTCCAGAAAAATAAGTAATAAAACAAAAAAAAAATGTTTTAGTTTTTGGATAACTAACTATTTTATAAAATAAAGATACAAAACCTCAACCAGTTGTCTCTTAGAATAAGCAGACGTAAGAAACTACAAGGGAGAGGGAGTTAAAAGAGAAAGAGTAAACGAGAAACGCGTGTGTAGTAGTAGTAGTGTAGGGGTCTGTTTGCTTCTGTAAGAAGTGAGAGTGAGGGAAGTGATTCATATATAGACCTAACAAGTGTGTGCGTCTATTAACAATAAAACTACAGACTCATTTCATTCGTTTTTTTTTTTTATCTTTCTTTCTAAGATTGAGGTTGAAGGCGAACGTGAGGACATGGCCTCTCTGGTTCCCCTGTTGTCCATAGGGTCTCCAGGTCACCTCTCTTGTGACCTAACACTATCAAAGTACCTGTCACCAAAAAAAAAAAAAAAAAAACAATTCTCTTAGATTCATTCATAATCATAGACACTTTCTTTTCCATGGCTCAGTTTTTTGTTTCTTTCCAAAACAAAGGCCTTACCAAGTATGAATGGGACGATGTAAAGCAAAGCTGGTTGCCCGTGTCCATCCATCAAGTTTAGGGCGATGTATGTTATGAGAAGACCTGTGATAAAATATTCATATAGAAACACAAGAGACTTTAAAATAAGTAAGATTCTGGAAAATTTCTTGCTTTTTTGCTTCTTCTTCCCTACTTGAGGGAGGGGATCATACCTAGACCATAAGCAGACATTGCCCCAAGGAAGTATCCTGACTTGAGCTTCTTGTTTGCCAGCCAGTCGTATCTGCAATTTTTAACAATATATATATCAGAACAGCTCTTTTGGCTCATCCACTTACCCTAACTCCTCTTGGGACACTTGATACTTCAAACTTGCCTATTAAATCTATTTACTATATTTTGTTGGTTATATATTGATTTTATGATGGATGCTCCGACCCACTTCAAGTGCAACACTGCACGATTCAGTGATTGTCCTATTATTTATCGTCTTCAAGAAACTCAAAACCATACTGAAGACTGAAAAACATACATGACGGTGTTTCTTTAAGAGCATTTTTTTCCCAGGTTCAGGCGAAGTCATATATCATTAAGCTTCTTATATTGTAGGCGTCTAATATCCCAAGTTCAGTTGACATGCTCATCATATATAGTAATAACGTGCAAAACATAGAGAGAGGATTGTAGTAGTGCAAACCTCAGTGCAAAAGTTACAAGCAGTCCTGGTAAGATGATATCGCCAAACCCGATGATACTGTAGCCACCCCAAGGATCAAACATACGTGGGATCTTTAGTAGCATTGGGATGCCGTCCTCTCCACTTTTGTCTCCACGGGCAACCTGTAGGTATGATTTTTCAAAAAAAGAAAAAAAAAAGAGTCAGTGTGAAACAGACTGAGATATTGAACATTTTGCATGATTTAAAGTCATTAAAAAGTTACCACAATCATCACGCTTTCACGGAACCACCATTTTGAAACAAAAACCCAGAATATATCATACATGAAGGCACAGCTGAGAAGAACAACTCCAACCTGTTAACATTAAATTTCAATGACCTAACACCGTTATTAGATATTTTTTTAATTTTCAAATTTCTAAAGCTTTTGTTTATTAGGTGCCAAGTTCTTAAGCACATAGTTCAAATATATACAATGGAAAAGAAGTGGTTCGAAACGAATATTACCTTAAGATTTGGTACCCGGACGATTTGAAGAACTGTGATTATCAGCGAGATCCCCTATTAGCAAGAAAAATGCAAACATTATCTCATAAGCATGAATACGCACATTGGTATATATAGAAATAAATGGGACTCGGACTGAAATCAGTATAGAGAGCTTACAAGGATATCTTGCCCTATCCAAGCAAATGAGTATTGGCGGTAAACTGCCCATATAACAGCAGATACTATGCAAAAGGGACAAATTGCCAGAGTCAGATATGAGACAGCACCCAGGAACGGAACTTTGACATAAAATTCTCCGATGCTGCGGAACCATCTGAAACTACATATAAATCCAACTTCAGTTCCCATTTTATCCTTTTCACTTCCTCCTAACGATAGTCCTGAAGGCGAAATTAATATGAAGAAACATACATACCATGAGAGCAAAGCGACCAAACAGGTTTGCAGCCCCTGATAGCACCAAACAGAAGTTTGAATCTCAGTACCAGGATGAATTCAATTAAGTACTGCTATAAATTCAAATGGTAAAAGTCGCCTACCTCAACGCCACCTATGCAAAAGAGTACCACCAACACTTCTATAAACCAGAATGACATAAGCTTGTAGAGCATGATGAGGAAACAAGAGGCAACCAGCACAAACAAAATTGCTGATATAACGGTGATCTCAACAACACCTCTAGAGCTGGTGGTTGATACCTGCAAATGTTCATCTGATCCGTCCTGCAGTTATAATACAATGGCTGAGCGAAAGGACTTTTATTTTCCTTGGCAGCCAAAAGGCTCCAACTACGGTGGATTAATTTTAAGAATATGCTAGTGAGGACCTTTAGCAGCTTGTCTTGCTCAATGGCTTCTTCCCTGGCGGTCCAGGCAGACCAATAAGAAGCACAAAGAATGGTACCAACAGCCATAAGCCAGAGAAAGACCTCAGCCACATCAACTGCTGGACGTTTCGGCGAGTAGAGCTGTAAAGTAACTGAACAGATACAGTCAACAAGACTGATGAAAAAGTGACAAACAAGGATAAGACATGGTACAGGAGAATAAATCGCTGTTGGAAGATATTTACCTGTGTCGTTAGCGTCAACAAATTTTCTGAGACTTGAACCAGCATCAAGAGGGAGCATAACAACAGGGATATTGATATCTAAAACGTCTTCACCCTTCTCACATACCATCTTGAAAAGATCTGCAAAACTACAACATTCAACCTTTGCAAAACTCAACTAGAATTCTTATTACTTGGAAGGAATATGCGCAGAAAAGCTTCAGCGGGTTTACCTGTGCTGTTGTTAATGATAAGGATGGCAGAGGCACCAGCTGCTTCAGCTACCTTTGTTTTGGTGGTAAAACTGCAGTTACCACGGTGAACAAGAATGACCTCTCCAGTAAGCTAACCAACAACCCAAAAGAAAACCAAGCAGAAGAATTAAAAACAGGAAATTAATTACACACAGAAGCGTCTACAGAGGAAATTGACAAAAGTTAGAAAAACAAACCTTGTATTTGGGAGTGGAGCAACAGTCAGGAGGGTCAGCGACGGCGAGTTTAATGAGGGTAGCATGTTTCTCCTTTGACTCCAAGGTTGGACCAAACCTAGCACCAACACCAACGTACTCCTCTTTTTCTTTCCCGTTGACCCGAGTTGGGACTTTGACCTAGTAGTCCATGGGGCATTATTTTGGTTAGAAGAAGATGATATGCTATCCCATGAGACGGAAACTAAACTTGCTTGATGCAGAGCTCCAGATCTATAATACCGATTAGTCCAAAAGAAATCAAAGAAACAGCAAAGCAAGAGAGCGGTAAAGAGCTCCACAAAAAAAAAAAAAATTGGTCATTGGTTCGTTAACTGCTTTAATAATATTCACGCACGATCTTAAAGGTAGCCAGAACTATCGCTAACTTAGCTGAGCTTAGCTGTGACACAAAGTGTCTAAAATTTTAACAAATAGATATTGGGCAAGACAAGCAATTAGCAGACTAATTCAAACAACTTTAAGGAAACACTCAAAACCCTATTTTTTTCTAATCTGAAACCCCGACACAAACGGCTGCTGAATATAAAAAAACAAGCTAAGCACAATCAAAAAGAAGTTGATTCCACCAATTATGTCTCACCAAGACGAAATTGTTGTTGCAACCAGGTCTCTTAGGAAGCGTGTCATCGTGGTGAACTATGTCTCCACCAGATACCAAACTACCACTGTACACATACAACCAGAACCCCAAAACCAACAAGTAACTGCTGTAAGATCTCCGACGGATCATGATTCACTCTGAGAAGGAGAAGAAGAAGAAGAAGATGGAGAAAGAGGAAAGATGGAGAAGAAATGGAGGAAGGTACAAGGAACTAGAGAGAGAGAGAGAGAGAGGGGGGGAAGAAAAACTCTCGTGGGAGAGATGAAAAAGGGAGCAAAAATAAAAATAAAAATAAAAATAAAAAGGAGTGTCGTTTCAGAGCTAAGCAAAGCGTAAAAACGCAGACGTTTCTTACGTTGTTTTTGACTTTTTGGTCCCACTCTCTCACTCTTCGCGCGTGTCTTTTAGTCCTTACATACTCCATTTTAAAATTATTTGTCCGTACGATATTTTCCTTTTTTCAAATTGCATCAAAATGAGAAATGTACGATATTTTCCTTTTTTCAAATAATAGAAAAAAAAAACTTCACAAATGGCTCTATCAAATAATTTCTTATGAAAGATACTTTACTTTAATTGACATGAACTGATTATTAATATGATATTATCGAATAATTTGGTGATGATGAACATTAAATCTAGATAAATATCTGTCCAAAAATTTTAAACAAAACGTTAACTATACTGTTGTATATCGTCACTAAAGTATTTAACGTTATCCATATCTTTAGCATATACATTTGATGACATCACACACCACATCATCGCGGATGTGAAGTTGATAATGCTATCTATGATTTAATTTATTGACGCTTCATGTTAAACTAACGTTAATCTTCTGTACACAGATGTCACCTATCCAACCGAAACCTGATAAATCATATACATATATTTACATATTATTCAAAAATAAAAAGATAAATCATATACAGTTAACAGTTTTGATAAAATTCTGATTTTTCAAAATAATGCATCTGAGCCTAACTGCATGTGCGTGACAAGCCTCTGCGCGTGGAACATGAATGCGACATGTACATCAAATCTACCGATCACCGGCTAGCCAAAATTAATTATAATTTGTACTAATTATTTTTATAATTGAATCCGTATGAACCGTACCGACAAGACGGCATGTTCCTGTAAACCATCTCTTTGAAAATTGTAACTCAAAAAAAATCTGTTGTGGCCGATCTCATACTAAGAGAAGTGTAATGACCAATTATACCAACCCACGTTTTGAAAACATGTGTTTGTCTGTTTTGTGAGCAAGAGACTCTTTGACATATGTATCTCGGACCCTTGGTGGGCCATGTTAAGTTCAAAAGGGACTTGTGCTTTCGAAACGCCAAGGTAAAAACACTACAAGCTGACAGATTTCCTGAGGTTGAGCAAAACAGCAAGCATCGTATAATGGATGGGTTAAGCAGTTTTTCTCTGGCTGTTTAATCAAAAGAATTCTATAATTTCACTCATCACAGCAAAACAAACAAACAAACTTGGTTTACCAAAGATTCTTTTTAAGAATTTAGTTGAAGCCACTCTTGAATGGCGGAACGAAGGGCGTGATTAGGAACAAGGTTACTGTGGGTTAGCTTAAGGTTTGTCATTGGTGAGGTCTCGTGACCATTGTTTAGCCATTCTCTTAAGGCTTCAGCTTCATAGGTGAACCCATCAGCTGCAACACGAGGCTCTCGCATTATTTCCTGTAAAAAGAAAACAAAGAATCGATCGTTGACTTCAAAATTTTTAGACTAATCAATCACAAACCCCAAAGTTGTCTAAAAATCAATCACAAGCGATTATTTAAGTCCTATATCTAAACCAAACATGAATTTGTACACCCTAGATGATAACAAATGTGCATCTAAGTCCTATATCTAAAAGTAGTCATCTCAGGTTCGGTCTGGCTTCGGTTCTGTTCAACGTACCTGCGATATTGGGCAGATGAAATACGATGGAGGCTGACGGGTAACAGAATCCTCATCGGAGAATCCGGAAGGTATTCCATGGCGTCGAGTGTAGCTTTGAAGCAGCAACAAAATATCTGAACAGACAGAGCTAGCTGCGTCTTTCTCAGCAGCGACCTTGCTGAGTTCTTCCTCCATTCCTTTTCTACGTCTTGCTTCTTCTTCGTATAACCTCATGAAATTTTGTCCCACAGAGCAAGCTTCTTCTTTCTCCTTCCTCACTTTCTCAAGCTCCTCTCTTCTTCTCTTCAGTAACTCCTCTCTTTCTTTCCTCAGCCTCACCTGTCAAAACATTTTTTTTTTACATGAATAACTTTTTTTAATTCCTGAACTGATCTTACACATTCATTACCTCGTCTTCATATAGTTGCATCAAGTTTTTGCTTATTAAGCAAGCTTCTTCCTTCTCCTTCTTTGTCTTCTCAAGCTCTTCCTCTTGTCTCTTCAACGATTCCTCCATCTCTTTCCTCTGTCTCAGTTGCTCGTTGTACAGCTGCATCCCTGTTTTCCAATATCAATAGAAATTTCAAGGAAATCGTCTTAAAAAAAGAACATTCCGTTCTGTAAAATTTTCTGTTTCCGACAGTACCGTCCTGAACAATGACCCGCACTTCTTCCACCTCCTTCTTCGTTCTCTCGTGTTCTTCTTTCTCCTTCCCCAACATCTCTTCAGCTTCAACTCTGCGTCTCAGTTCCTCATTGTATAGCTTTCTTCCGTTAAGAATGATGATAAGTGCGTCGTCCCTCTCTTGTTTAGTCTTCTCCACCATTTTCCTTTGTTTTGCCAATGCTTCTTTACCTTCTTTCCTTAGCCTCGCTTCCTCATTGAACATAGCTTCATACTCTCTTGCCTTTCAAAGTAAAAGGAAATAATTCTAAGCAAAGAAAAAGAAAAGAACATTCTCAAGTCTTGAGATTATGGATTTGTGCAGGTATTTTACTTTGCGTATGGCCTCAACGGCTGTATTTTCAGCTTTAAACCGCCTGACACATTCTTCGTACGCTTCTCTTTTCGATTCCTCAACTTCAATAAGTGCTTGCTTAAGTTGTCTATACAGTTGATCATTCCTGTCGCTTTCCTGCAAAAGGACAGATAAAGCTTTCAATCATTTAGTTAACAATACAACTAACAGTGTTTAGAGACCGTACAGATTGATCCTCTGATGAAGGTGGCTCTAACATGTCCCTGTCTCTCCTTGTGTCAATATAAGCTACAATTGCAGAGACCAATTCTGCCGAGCATTTTGGTGAAGCAGAGGAATAGAGCTTCGGTGTCCATTGTCCAGCTTCGGCTTCTGTTTTATCCACACGGCCTTCAAGATTGGCTTCCCTGAGTATTTAATATACATAAACAATAAGGTGATTTCTTCAAGGACAGAACATAAGCAAAGCGAGCGTGTTCAAAACTCACTTTGTGTAGATGAGATGTCCATCACACGTAAACATAACTTCGCAGGAGCTAGGCGCGTGTTGGTAGACGTGCTTGGACTTTCTGGACTTGATATCGCACATCGTCCTGTAAATTTCCTGTTAGTGAACTTAGAGATTTAAAATAAAATGGACTTCAAATAGGTACTCTGAATAATGATGATCTGATGCAGCTCCCATAACGAGCTTCTTGATTTTACTTTCATGGATGAGTTCTAATATCCCCTGCTTCACATCGTTCATCTCTATACACGATATGTAAATGTCGTCCTCATTCACCTGCGATCGGAGAACACGAATCAGGAGGACCACAACAATTTCAAAGCAAGAAGAGAAAGACTTTAACAATATATGAAGAAGGCAGCAGAACAATATACCCCTTCTTGTTGACAGATGTCAAAATAATCATGTAACGTCTCGTACATGATAGCCTCCAGTTCTTCAAGCTTACGTGCTGAAAACATCAAAAGAAACACGGCATCACATATGAAGCATCGAAAACTGCTCCATGGGGACCATATAAATCAATCGGTAATGAATATTACCAGCAGGAGAAGCAGTTTTGGGCTGATAAACATGGAGGATGCAGACTTTCTTGACACCAAGGTTCCTCAAAGCCCAAACCAGAGTCGATCTGCTCTCTTTGACATCATTCTTCACAGCAACATGAACAACATCATTGCCCATGGCCATGAGTTCCGCCATTGATGTCCTTTACCTTCGTCTTTGTGTTCTGTCTTCGTTTCCCCTGTGTAAGTAAAAAATAAAACAGAAAAACAAAGAAGCATCTGACAGAAAGAGACCAACGATGGTTAGTGGTGACCCTCAACATTCTTATTGTTGACCGTTTCAATTTTCCTAAGGTGGAACACAGTAAAGTCAACGGGTGGTAGTTAAAACACAAGTCAATGCATAACAATCACTGAAACAAAAAATGGATCTCCAAGATTTTTTCCAGTGAAAAGAGAGAACTTATTCATTAGATTTTTTCAAGTTTCATTCACCATATATCTTTACTGAATCACAACACAATCAACATAATATCTATCTTTAAGGCAAATACGGGTGCTGTTGCAACCACTCGTTAATAGCTGAACGAAGAGCAAGATTTGGTGTGAGGTTGTGATTCACAAGCTTCAGGTTTGTCATCGGCGATTTTTCACCTCCATGAGTGAGCCAATTTTTGAACTCATCTGCTTCATAAGTGTAACCATCAGCTGCAACATGGGGATTCTGCATAATCTCCTACATTCACGAGCAATTGGCAATGAATTATATAAAAAAAGTAAAACAAATATCAAAAATGGAAAAGTTACTTTTGGACGTGTATCAATGGTAGTTTATCTACCACTCTATCGATGGTAGTTTAGTACATTATACTATAGTCTAGCGTATGTGTCAAGCTTAGTACACTATAGTTGAGATCCCAACAAAAAAAATCAGCTTTCTAGATGGAGGGTTCGAGTCCTAACCTTTGAAATGGGACAGAAGAAATATTGGGGAGGCTCGTTGGAAACAGACCCCTGCAACGAGGATGAAGGCGAATGTGATGATGACTCACCGTTCTCCAGGTATAGATTTCTCAAAAGCTCTTCAGCTTTTTTGATAGCTTCGTCTCGCTCTTTCTCGACCATATCTAAACGACGGGGGCAATCAATATAAAGCTGTTCTTCGAGTTCCTTTTGGAGCCTCTTCATGTCTCTGATTTCTGCTCTCGCTCTGTTTAGCTCCTCCTCCGCTTCTCTCCTGCGACGTACTTCTTCACTGTACAGCATCTGAGTGACACCAAAAGAACTCGAGAGTGCTTCCTCTCTTTCACGATTCATCTTAGCATGTTGCTCCAGTTCTCTCCTTAGTTCCTCGATTTCTAGTCTCCGTCTCTGCTCCTCGTAGTACATCGTCGCAGACCCTCTAGCCTGTTTAAGAACCACATCAACTGAACAAATGAGATTCTTCTAACACAACCACAGGAGTCTCATATGGAAAACTAAACATTAAAATAGGGTTTGAAGACATGCATATGTGTTATGTTCTACAGTACCAGTTGCAAGAAATGTTTGAATAACAAGAACAGGTGTTGGATCCTTGATCTATCACATTTTATCATTCCTTTTCCATAGGTTTTAAGCGAATCACAACAAGGTTCTTCCAATTAAGAAAACACTCCTCCAATTGAATGAAAAAAATTCTAGGTGATTTTACGTACTGATTGGTGTTCAGGTGAAGACAGGGCATGTGACACGCTGTCAGGTTCAGCTCTTACTCCTTCCTCGTAGGGTACCAGAGCAGAATCGAGGTCATGAAGGCTGGCTAAGGATTCTGAGGAGGAGTGCGATGAACCCCCAAGATCGAACCGTCCCTCACTATTGAACATACAAATAATAAATAACTTTACAATTACTCAAAACACACACAAGTAAAATCCTCCTCCAACTTACCTCGTTTGGATGAGGTTCCCATTACAGACAAGCCATATTTTACAGCAATGAGGAGCGTGGCTACTCACATACTTGGCTTTTCTAGATGTGATATTAACCATGCCCCTGCATCATCAAAAAAATTATGTGAGCATTTATAGAGAAATTATCACATAAACGACTGTCAAGTCAATAAATCCTTACTCGGAGTAGCGGGAATCAGCAGCTGCTCCTATAATAAGCTTCTTGATATTGTTTTCATATATAAGGTTCACAATCCCCTCCTCAACGCTATTTGCCACATCACAGAATATTTCCACATCTTGCTCGGTAACCTGCAACATAAGCAATTCAATGATCATAATTGTTGGTTTTAAAACATAAGTATATGTTTTTCAGAATTTTTGTGACACACGCTAATAATGAATTCATGAGTTGGGAAAGAGCACAAACTCCTTCATGTAGGCAGATATCACGGTACTTGAGAAGGCTCTCATATGTACTAGTCAGTTCCGACACCTGGATTGCATCGATCTCACTTTGTTCTAGCCCACTTGCTGGAGTTCACACACAGTAAAAAAAAAAGGAAACTTAGACCAGTAGGAATTAGTTGGTTCAAGAAAGTAAAGCTTGTTCTTCCGCTAAAAATCAGATTTGATATAAGATCACGGCATCACCCACAACAAGTAAAGACACACTAACACACACATATAAAAAATAAAACCATTTACATCCTACGATCAAGAATATCAAGATGATAGACATAACTTCATCACCACTGAAATTAAGGCAGGAAAGAAAAAAAACCTCAATCTCTATCAAAGCTATATATGTTGGTGTGATTAGTGTAAACTAGTAGGAAAACAGAGAAAATTACTAATAACGCCGATCAAAAAGAAGAAGTAATTTACAGGTAGGGTTCATGGAAATGGGTAGATGAACATGAAGAAGGTAAAGCTTTTTGAATTGGAGATGCCTCAGTGCCCATGTGAGAATCGATCTGCTTTCACGAACATCTTTGTGTACTGCAACATAAACGGGATCGTCAATCAAAGCCTCTGCCATGGATATTTTCTCTTCTCTCTATAGAGACAATTTCTCTCTTTTCCAAAAGCAAAGACGATATAAGACACAAAGGCACTACCAGTTTATAAAATATACATATATATGTAGACACATGATTATAACTAATTGCGAAGATGTTTCCGACCATTTTCTTACTCAATTGTCTTACGTATATACTTTAAATGTGTATTTTTCTGAGAAAAAGAAGAAGAAGGTGACAGACAACAAAAGATAATTCGATCTTAGTGGATAACATCAGAGAGCGAGCCACTGTTCACAGTTATTTAAATGCAACTATATCTATCATTCAGTACATTTCGTCGAACATTTCATATCTTAAAAGACACGCATCATACGGTAAATTAAACATAGAATTAAACATAGAATTGCTATTTTAAGAAAATTGAAATGTCAACAACTCACATGAGCTTTTTTATAAATAAAAAAAAATCAGGAATGAGAAATCGAAGGCGGGAGGGATATATTGGGTATTTAGGTTGCTAAATGAGAAGTATCGGTTCGGACATGTTTTTTACCTCCGGTCAGTCTCCGCTACATTGTGACGAATCTGATGCGCCGGTGCGTAAGCCGGGGGTCGAATAGGTTGACAGTTTGGGAAGTGGAGTCAACATGTGGGGGAAAGTCGTTTAGTTGTTTGTAGAAGAATTAAAGGACGATTCAGGTTACGACACGCCACGCAGCTTTGGTCAATGTTCTTCGTCCACTCCGCTTGGTGATAAGTTGTTTATAGTGGGCTTAATAATGACCCTACTTACTGGTCACATTTTATAACAGCCCATGGGCTTACGTTAAAAGCATTACTTGATTGGCTCTTTCCCGCCAATTTGGTGGTAGATGAACTTGCAGACAAAGTCAACGTGGGTAGCAAAACCTTCTTCTTCTTTTTCTTTTGGACAAACAAAACTGATGCTTTCATAAATAGTCATGTATCAAAACGGTGAACACATGAAGTTTTTTATTGTACATACTTTACTTTTCTTACAGAGCAATTCCCAAACTTCACAACAAAGTCTGACATCTTAATTATATATCTATGGGAGTATATATATGATTAATCAATATCTATAATTCGGGTGGTGATGGAGCCAGTCCTTGATGAGTGAGCGAAGAGTGAAGTTAGGGGTAAGATGGAGATGAGCGAGCCTAACTCCTGTGATTGGCGACTTATTATTCCCTTCATTTAGCCACCTTCTTATTTCCTTTTCCTCGTAAGTGAATCCATCAGCAGCCACATGAGGATCTCTCATTATCTCCTACATAATATATATACCAAAATCAGATTATGATGAGAGTAGAACAAATTGCATCTCCTAAGCAGTAAGCAGAATCCCTAGATTTTTTTTTGTTTTTGTTTTCCTATGCAAACATGAATATTAATTAGTATTTCAAGATGCGATTGATTGAATCCTAACCATTGAAATGGGACAAATGAAATCTTCGGGACATGGACTCGTGTCTGCTTCGCTGTCCTTTATTTTTGTCTCCTCATCTTCTTTCTTTGCTCTCTTTGGTTCTTCTTCAGTTTTTCTAATCCGTTCCTGTTTTTTTGCAATGCAACACGATAAGAGCTTCAGATATTTGACACCAAACTCAGGTTTTGGGTAGGTAGGGAGACCAAAATTAAGCGCTACTAATCAATCAAATCTTTGTTACTTACTGAATCGGTTTCGTCATCATCCCTTCCTCTTTCTTTGCTTGGTTTCTGAGCAAAACCTTCGAATTCTGAGAACGAATCTGATGGATTCCCAATGCCGAAACTTCCTTCTCTATTAAACCCCCCAAAAAAACAAAAATGTTACAAGAAATATTTTGAAAGACTAATATACACACACATACAAACAAGTGCAAATTTGCAATCCTCAAAACTTACCTTTTTTGGATGAGTTTCCCTTTGCAGATCAACCACATTTTACAGCAATCAGGTGCATGTTGACTCACATACTCTGCTTTTCTAGATGTGATAGACATTCCCCTGCATTATTTATAAGAGAGAGGTCTGAGAACATTTCACATCTGGTGTTATGTAAAAACATAGATTTGTTCTCGAGCTTTTCCTTACCTGGAATAGTGAGGATCAGCTGCTGCTCCCATAACGAGCTTCCTGATGTTGTTTTGATAGATGAGTTCCACAATCCCTTCACCCACACCATATCCTGATATCAATGATATATCCACATCCTCTTCATCAACCTGATTGTCAGAAGAAAAAATCATACATATTACGTGTTGCTCTTACTTCTCAATCTCTCTAGTTTTGATTATTTGCAAATATAACTAACTAACTTACCCCTTTGTTTGTACAGAGATCACGGTACTTGTAGAGGCTGTCATATGAAGATTTCAGCTCTGATTCTTGGATTGCATTGATCTCACTTTCATCAAGCCCACATGCTGAATTATACACCATTCCAAAACATAATCAATTTCCAATTCAATAACAAAACAAAAGACAGTACACTGATAAAAGTTCCATAGCAATCGCTCTGAAACATCTTTTATAGTTAAAGATTCCAAACTTTGTAAGATGAGAAAAAATTAATAGTTAGGTGATGTAACAACAGACATGATGTGTGACTTTACTACAAATGGGGTATGCCTGGTAGGTATACTAGCCGTATAAGCCCAAAAACCTTGATTTGTTTCTGTACTATGTCCACGGTTCAAAATAAAATCTGGCTATGATTTTATTATCCTAATTTTTAAAGCTACGATGTTGATTGTTTCATGACTTATTAACGTAACTAAAAGATTGTGTTGACTAGTAACACATATTTCTTAAATTCTGACACATGATGTTTGATACATTTTTTTTTTTTGAAAAAAATGATGCTTGATACTTACTGTATGTTTCTATATATATAGATGAATATTTGAGATGTATTTTTTCTCTTATAAATAGGTTCCATATAAACATATTTTCAGATGCATATTACATACTCAGAGAACAAACACAGCATCTTCCAGAGGCTCGTGTAATACTAAATACAGTGAAATACAATCAGTTCGTTCAGAAATATCATGTTGTAAGTCCATGAAATTTATTGGAATTTGAACAACACTAACAATAAAAAATGCAAAACACAACTAAACGCAAAGAATCAAGCTCAAAGACTTACAAGAAGAGTTTAGCGAGAATGGAACATGAACATGAAGAAGGCAGAGCTTCTTCACGGGAAGAGTCTTCAATGTCCATAACAAAGTTAATTTACTTTCTCGAACATCTTGATTCACCGCCACATAGATGACGTCGTTATGCACGGTTTCTCCCATGAATACTTACTTGTTTTTTTCCCTCCTCTATTATGCACAGAGTATGCAACTATGTATTTTATCATGAATGTTCGGTATATTTATAGCGAGCGAGATATCAAGGTATATTTTACCTCATTGCATCTTGCATTGCAAGGAGCTTTCGGACCATTTACGTGTGAATTTCTCAGGTCAAGTGCTGTGGGTCAGCTTATTTTATTGAAACAATCGAGCAGTTGAACTTTCTGCATTTGTTTATTAAGTTTTTTTTTTGTTGCTTAAATTGCTTATTAAGTTTCCGGGAAAAATAATGGAAGCCACTTGGGACCTTTAAGTCGTGAGAATAGTGTCGAACCAAAATGAAGGTGTGAGGTGTCGGGGGTTATCTTGTGATCAACAAATTTCGTTTCGTTGACTTGACTACCGATGTTATAAATTAGCAAAAAGAAGCTAATTATTCGTTTTGTACCGAAATATGTTGGGGGGTATTATAAACTATAGTTTAATAGTGTTCAAATTTTTCTTTTGTGATTAGAATAATGTTGATTTAAAAGGCCCATGGGCCATAAACTAAGATTAGTATGTTTCAGGATTTGATAAGCAGTATATCATCTTGATTTAAAAGGCCCATGGGCTATGTTGTTGGGCTTTGTCAGTCCATAGTCTTCACGCTTTCCCGCCCATGCATGAACACAAATATTTATTATTATGCAATGGTAATAAAAATTAAAAAAAAAGAAAGTAAAAACTGTTTCGCTAATGGCCTCCTCAGACACTCTCAGACTCAAGATATTTATTTCAAAAATCCGTTTTAAGTTCTCTCCCTCAACCTCCCTTCTCTAATTGTAAAGAGTTGCGATATACGATTGAAGATGAATATGAAGAAGGCCTACGATCTGAATTCGATTTCAGTGTTTCCTCCTAATTTAAGGTACTGACATGGATCACTTAGAGAGAGAGATTAGGGTTTTAATTGGGATTCGTCCTCTATTTACAGTGATATATCTTATTTGCTGATTGATCGATTCTTGATAGTGTTAAAGTAGCGTTTGATCATGTTTCTGATTAAAATCTGTGTCAAATTTAGTAGAAGGAGATCGAGTGTAGGAGCCTCTGAACCGCAAGCATCGCAGCCGTCCTTCTTCCCACAGGGTCCTTCTTCTTCTCAGTGTGCCTCTTTTTCTCAGAGGACTCAGCGCTCTGTCGATCAGCTCTATGATCAGGTTAGTTACTTACACAACTCTTTATCTAATACTTTAATATCTCTTCTGTATACCGTCGAAGAAGTTACTCTTGATTTCATGCTCGCACAGAGATCTACTTGTCAGGAACGAGATCTCTCTTTGAAGAAGAAGAACAGTTTCTTGCCACTTGTCAATCATAAACGAGACGATATTCAGATGCTTACATCTAGACTTTCCAGCGGAAGATGGAGTTCTGTTTCCCTCGGAGAATCTAAATGTATGTTTTGCTCTCTCTGTATTCTGAAGAATGGACTATAATAATAATATGTTCCACCTTTGTCATTGAGTAGCTCAGATTGGTGAAGAACTTGAGCAACGCTTTGGGATGATGGAAACTTCGTTGAGCAAGTTTGGAAGGTTGCTGGATTCCATTCAGAGTGACATCATACAAGCCAACCGAGGAACTAAACAAGTTTTTCTTGAAAGTATGATTTGTCTCCTTTTTTTCTATTTAGTATTAATCAACCTGTTGAAGATCACTTCACATGAATAAAGACTCCTGCTTCCTTCATAATTCATGTCATAACGTCTCAATCAATAGATAGCTGAATTTTCATGTGTGTTAATGCAGCTGAACGCATTCAACAAAAGTTGATTCTCCAAGACACTTCTCTTCAGCAGCTGGTAAAACCAATTATTTGCACTATTTTCTTGTTGCTTTATCGACCTTATGCAAATAGATTATAGCTTCTTAATCGGGAAGCAGATAAAGAAACACTCAGATGTTCAAGCCAGTCTTGATGGAGCTGTTAAATCTATTCTGGAGGAACTAAGCACAGATCCCAATCAAGAGAAGCTACATAAAATAACTTTGATGTTAACAGCTATCCTAGAGCAAGTAGAAACCGCTCTGCAGAATATACAAAGGGAAATCTGCCACACGTTTACCGGAGAAATTCAGGTGTGTGTCATGTGAACTATTTCTGTTCATCTCAGCAGTGTTTATATAAGATTGATGTGATATTCAAGTTTCGTCAATCTTTAACTTTGTGAGCTTTTAATACCCACAACCAAATCTCTGTTTAGGTTTTGGCTAAGCCAGTAATAGCTCCTCAGGTTCCAACAGCACCACAAGTGAAGGTCCTTTCGTCACCTACTTTCCATCTCTTTGCTCTTTAAGCCAAAGTGGCAAACATTTCAGGAATTAATGTGGGTTTTGTTAAATAACAGGCTAACGGAAACTTGCTTGAGCAGCGCCATCCAGCTGCCAAGGTAACGACTCTATTTCTGTGATCATATCTCCTCTCTTCAAAATTCCATTTTGTTTACCAAGCTCAGCAGTTATTAACAAATGTGAAAAATGAGCTGCAGAGCAATGCATTTTGTAATGCCACACTGAAAACGAAACAACCACAGCTTCCTAGAAAGTAGGTTATACATTGTTTTGCTACTCTACGCTTTCCATACCCAAAACAATTACCACAGATTGATTCTAAATATGTTTATGTTGCATTTGACAGTCCAGCGAGGACTGTAAGAACATCTTTATCCCCAAAGACACAAGTGGGATGTTGGAAGACGGTGAAACCAGCACAAAGAACGTTCAAGAATAACGCAGGAAGAAAATAAGTAGGCACTCGTACGCAAATGACTGAGTCGGATTTTCTAGTCAAGCTACAGTGAATAAGATCACTTGATTGAACTTACCCAAGATTCAGTGCAGTTAGAGCAGTGCAGCGTTGTCGTAGACTCAGATGAAGATATAGAGGGAGGCTTTTCATACTTGCTGAAGGGGAACACCAAAGATATTAAGATGGCTTACTATCGAAACAATGAAGAACTGCAGGACGGATATGTGGATAATAGATGATGAAAATCCATGTTCATAGCTTGACTAGAGAGCTGTGTTATGAAACTTATGTATGTAGCTGTTGTTACTACAGGAGCAAGCTTCGAATGGGACACAGAGAAGGCAACCGAGAGGCTGCTGAAGACGGCGAGGAAGACAAAGAGGAAGTTCGGGAACCCGATAATAATTAACTGAAAATCAAGGTAAAGTAATAAGCTGTGTTATTTACATTTCTGTTTTATTTAAATTTCTATGTTAATGCTTAAGATGATTTTAATTGGATAGATTATCTATCACCAAATGTGAATTATCTACATTTCTGGTGAACTTTTAATTATAGCAGTTTTTCACTACTTTGATAAAGTTATAATAAGCTGCGACATGAAGAGGAATGATTGGTATTTGGATGGTATCTAAAAGAACATGTTGTTATAATGATTTCTTAGTATAAAGATTCTCCCAATAAAAGAAAAAGGAATATTACGAGGATCTTGAAGATCGTTATGGGAATGATCGAGAGGTTGTATGTCTGGATCTCTTTGCTCGGTTCAGTTGTGTCGTGAATCACGTTTTGGAATTTCAGGGGAAGATATTTCGAGTACATGTAAGTAGGAAAATATCATTCACAACTGATAAAGTTGAAAAAAGACAAAAAAAAACAGAGTGAATAAAATGTTTCCCAGTCCATGTATTCTACCATAAACCAGAAGGCACTCGATAATAGCCTTCCGGAGTAATAGATAGAAAAAAAAAGAGAGAAGAAAAACCAATATTTTATCACAGGTCGGAGGAGAAATCCACAATTTTTAAATTTTATTTTGTGGCGATCGTTTCCGACTCCGCCATGGACACCAAATCAGGTACCGTAAAAACAGTTGGATCTAGAAAAAATAAATGATTTGTTTTATTATCTCTGGGGAAGGAAAAGAAAGAGGATGACATGTTGTTGTTGTTGTTGATGTTGATATGTTGCAGTAGTGGAGTTCCTTGGAAACGTTCCATTACTTCAGAAGCTGCCCAGCTCTTCTCTTAAGAAAATCGCCCAAGTTGTTGTCTTGAAGCGCTACGGTCTCTTTCTTTCAAACTTGTTTATTGGCTTTTCAAATTAGAAGAAGTTTTAATCTGTAGCAATTTCTGTGTTTGCCTTTGACTACTATTTATTGCAGGGAAAGGGGAGTATGTGGTTCGTGAAGACCAAACTTGGGATGGTTGCTTTTTCATTTTCTCTGGAGAGGTTCTTCCCTCTTGTTTCCTCAATCATGTGTATTCCCTTATTCCCTTAAGAAGATACAAGCAATGGCTGACAGATTTTTCCATTTGATTTATTGTATTTGGCAGGCTCAGGTTTCTGGACCAGACGACGAAGAAAACCGTTCCGAATTTCTCTTGAAACAATATGATTACTTCGGCCATGGTCAGTAGTCCGTTTATGATTGATGATCATCATCATTCCTTTTGGTTGGGTGATATTCTTACTTCTTACCTTGTTTTGTTTAATTGTTTCTAAAGGTATTTCTGCGCATGTTCATTCAGCTGACATTATTGCTACCTCCGAGGTTCTTTCTTATATATATTGCTTTTCTCTCTTAGTTTTTGTTTCCGTTTTTTAAGCTCAATAATTATATGCTAACCAGAAGACTTCTCTCGTGTATTGCGTTTCAGCTCACATGTTTGGTGTTGCCGCGTGATCATTGCTCTTTGCTTCAGACCAACTCAATCTGGCAGTCGGATCAAGATGTTGACAAATGCTCTTTAGTCGAACGCATTTTACAACTTGACCCTTTAGAAGTACGTACACCCCCACTCTCCTCCCTTTTTTTCCTCCTCCTCCTCCTCCTCACTTCATATGCTTTCGATTTAAACTATCCGCTTCCTAGAATGAAGATGCAATCTAAGCATTCTTTTTGTCAGCGTCTCTACATCTAGGCTCATCAGATTTTTACTACATGCGTTTCTTTCTTGTAGCTGAATATCTTCAGGGGTATCACTCTACCTGATGCTCCCAAATTTGGAAAGGTTTTCGGTGGTCAATTTATGGGACAGGTATAGCATTTCTTGGAGTTTATTTACATCTATCTCTATTTCAACCTGGCTGGTCTATTTCCTTTGGATATACATGTTACCAAAATTTAGTTACACTCTGGCAAATCTCTAAGTCACTTTTTTCTTTTCCCAAATTTTGCAGGCACTTGCTGCGGCATCAAAAACTGTTGATTTTCAGAAGATTGTCCACAGTTTACATTCTTATTTTCTTCTCGTTGGAGATATCGATAGTATGAACTTCATTCCAGTGTGCTCTTGCCAGCCATTATGCGTTTCTTCTCGTTAAAATTCATCTAATTATCATTGGTTCTGGTTACTCTTGCAGTCCCCATTATTTATCAAGTTCACCGTATACGTGATGGGAACAACTTTGCCACTCGAAGAGTAGATGCAATACAGAAAGGGAATATCATTTTCATATTGATGGCTTCATTTCAGGTTTTCCATTTTATTCACTTCAGTCAAGATGGTTTATGAATACCGAGAGAGACTAGCATCCTTTTTCTTTAACTGTGAAATGATCTAAACTCATTTGTTTTCATAGAAAGAGCAACAGGGATTTGATCACCAGGAGTCAACCATACCCTCTGCACCGGATCCTGATACGGTAAATTGTTCCTCCAAAATCTAAAAAGGTTTCTATAAATTGTAAGGGCTTCCCCTTTAACCATTATCTTCGGCAGCTTCTGTCACTAGAGGAGTTGCGTGAACGTCGTATAACTGACCCTCATCTACCTAGGTAAGTTTTCAATTGTCTGAAATATATATCTCAGAAAGCTCAAGTTGAACCGTTTCTTCTAAATGTTTCTTCCTTTCAGGAGCTACCGGAACAAGGTTGCAACTGCAAATTTTATTCCATGGCCTATAGATATTCGGTTTTGTGAGCCCAGTAATTCTACAAACCAGACAAAGTCTCCGCCAAGGTGTACAACTCACTTAAATCGTGAATAAATTAATAATTATCATAGTTTCATACATTCCACCAGGAAGGCAAGCACAGCTGGTCAACCTGGTTTATGTGTTTGATTACACATGAAACTCATTACTTGCATTCTCTTTAGTTATTTGTTATGTTTTGTCCTGACAAAGTCTTCTTGCAGATTAATGTACTGGTTTAGAGCAAAGGGAAAGCTTTCTGATGACCAAGCTTTGCACCGGTAAGTGACTCCTTCATTTACTTCATGTGTTAATCATAGTAGACACCTGAACCATATCTATTTTTCGTTTGGTTACATCCCTTTCAACTTCTAAAAAGCAACAATCACTGGAGACGAGTGAATTGATGGTGTTTTAGGATAATTGATTGATAAATTTAGATTATGGCTGAGACTCTTAAAAAACATTGACAAATTTATTGAGTGCTGTTCTTTCTGGAAGTCCAATATATTGAGTGATAGCAAACTGATCATCTTACAAGCCACGTTGTTATACAGATGTGTTGTGGCATTTGCTTCGGATTTGATATTTGCAAGTATCAGTTTGAACCCTCACCGTAGAAAGGGTCTGAGATCTGCTGCACTTAGCCTGGACCATACGTAAGTTATTTATTGTCTTGGTGAAGTATGAGTTTTGTCTGTCTGTCTGCGTTATTTATTTGACTACATTGAAATGATATTCTAATATCATTTGTTACAGTAGTTAATTACTCGGTTTTTCCCGTTTTGGTTTGCAGGATGTGGTTTCACCGACCTCTAAGAGCTGATGACTGGTTGCTCTTTGTGGTAGTTTTTCCCATCCTCTTTTTTTTTTTTTCTTTTGAACAAAATAAACATTTGAAATCTCTTCTAATACATGTATGATGAAATAGGTTAGTAGACATGTTTGGCGTCTAACCATGACTCTCTTACAATGATGACTATTGCAGATTGTTAGTCCAATTGCGCACATGACTAGGGGTTTTGTCACTGGTGAAATGTTCAACAGAAAAGGAGAGGTATTCTCTACTCTCTTGGCCTCATTTAATAAGTAGATAATTAATCTGCGGAGACGGATTTTGACGTATATCTTTTTCAAAGCATCAAAATTTCGAATTCTTGAATGTTTTTAGATTATGAAGGAAAAATGTTGTAATTTCTATTTCTTTTTGGATATGTGAACAGCTGGTTGTATCGTTAACACAAGAGGCCTTGTTAAGAGAGGCAAGACCTCCTAAACCCTCCGTGACGTCTAAGCTCTGATTTGGCCCACCTGTTAGTTTAAGATGTGGTGAATAAAGGGAAAAAACGAAGAAGATACGGGAGACATTAGAAACCATTTGGTTATAATAATAAGATTGATGTTTGCTTGTATTGTTATTAGACAAACTCATTTCTTTGGGTATGATTCGGTTTTTATGTCTTGTGATATGTATTCATATTTACACTACAAATTTACTATTGTATGGTTCCGAGAAAATGACATTTTTGGTCGATTCGTTGTGGTAATGGCACGCGGGCTATAAAAATTATTTGGATCTGTCTCGTACGGTCCACTTTTAGTTACACCTTTAATCGTCGGCTTTGATATGGATGCTATGAACCTTTTGCAAAAAGACAAAAGACAGAAAGAAACGGGACCACAGATCCACCGACCGGAAACGAAGAATCCATATAGATAGACATAGACTAGACCCCATCAGGGTTCGGTCGTATCGGACCGGTTTGATTTGGAATTGAGTGGACCCCCCCTTCCTCTACCACGAAAAACGTAAGCAGTGACAACATCAACTCATCGCCACGTCAGCAACAGACTTCTCCTCTCGAAACGTGTCCCAGCAGCGTCATCCACCCACGTGTGTTCTAGAAGCTCTTCTACCTCCTCCTACAATAGTACCAGATTCTCGACACGTGTCCAGCCCCCTTCTCCTTATATATTTGACTCTTCTCTCCTTCGTTCCAAGTTTCAAAACGCCAAGTTTCAAAGAGGATTTCCTTATTAGGATATTAATAAAAGAAGATCCCCTCAGCAGCAACCCTCAGAACCATTCATAGAAATGTCAGAACTACAGTTGCCTCCAGGGTTCCGATTTCACCCCACCGATGAAGAGCTGGTGATGCACTATCTCTGCCGCAAATGCGCCTCTCAGTCCATCGCCGTCCCAATCATCGCTGAGATCGATCTCTACAAATATGACCCATGGGAGCTTCCTGGTACTTTTAAGTTCTTTTTTATTTAATTCTCTGAAGTGATGTTTTTTTTGTGAAATCTTAAATCTGAGATTTTATATTTTTGTCCAGGTTTAGCCTTGTATGGTGAGAAGGAATGGTATTTCTTCTCTCCGAGAGACAGAAAATATCCAAATGGTTCTCGGCCAAACCGGTCAGCTGGGTCGGGTTACTGGAAAGCCACTGGAGCTGATAAACCGATCGGACTTCCTAAACCGGTTGGGATAAAGAAGGCTCTGGTTTTCTACGCCGGAAAAGCTCCCAAGGGTGAGAAAACCAATTGGATCATGCATGAGTACCGTCTCGCCGACGTTGACCGATCCGCTCGCAAGAAGAAGAACAGTCTCAGGGTATTCTATTTACATCTAATTTTATTTTTTATTTAATTTGATAGTGAATTGATTAATTAAATGAGTGGACCGGGTGTTAATTTTATTACAGCTGGATGATTGGGTTCTTTGTCGGATTTACAACAAGAAAGGAGCTATCGAGAAGCGAGCACCACCACCCACTCCGGTTGTTTATGGCGACGAGGTCGTGGAGGAGAAGCCGAGGCTGCTGTCGGAGATGGGTATGCCTCCGCCCCCTGCGATGACCAATGATTTTGTTTACTTTGACACGTCGGACTCGGTGCCGAAGCTACATACGACGGAGTCGAGTTGCTCGGAGCAGGTGGTGTCGCCGGAGTTCACGAGCGAGGTTCAAAGCGAGCCCAAGTGGAAGGATTGGTCGGCTGACAAGAGTGGCCTTGATTTTGGGTTTAATTACATAGATGCCACTGTGGATAACGCGTTTGGTGGAGGAGGAGGAGGAGGGAGCAATCAGCTGTTTCCGTTGCAGGATATGTTCATGTACAACATGCCCAAGCCTTATTAGGGTCTGTTTCCTACCGCCGCCGAACGCAAACGCAAACGCTGCTTGTTTTGTGGGTATCACGAGATCGGTTGTGGCCGGTCAATGAGTGTGCCGATTCGGCGGAGCCGCCACTAGATATTTATGTTTCAGTGTTCGTTTAATTTCTAAGCCGTCAGATTACGGGAAAATCTCTAATCGGACGGCGGTCGATGTGTCTATGTACCACCACTGTTGTTGTTGGGTAGAAAAATCCACCTGTCTTTTCCTTTTTGGGCTTTAGTTGGCATAAAAGTCAAAAGTTTTAAGAATATTTGTTTATCATCTCTGTCGTAATAATCAATTGAATAAACAATTGAATATTTTCTTCTATCTCTCTTTGTGTGGGTGATTAAGTTATTTTTAACATAACTTGTGGAATGGAAACCATAAATAATGATAAACCCAAGTTTTCAAGTCAGAAGTTGAGCTGATAAGGTTATGTAATTTCCACAGAATCGGGCAAAGGAATTAATCCACATATAACTAAGACCTGTTATTATAAACTTCATATCTCATAGTCTACTTTAGTGGAGACAATCAAAGCGCTAGAGAGAGAGAGAGTAGAGTAGAGCAGATTCTGAGAACGAGATAAAAGAACATAAAAGACTGAAGAAAGTGGGAGTTTCATGTTCAGCTAGCATATTCCTGTTGGAGTAGTAGTAGTTACTTGTGCTTGGATGATGGAAAGAACAACTCCTTGACAGAATCCTGAGCTGATACTATTCTCTGTTTGATCTGCCAAAAATGTCATATATATATATGGTGGGGGTGAGGGAAGACTCAAATGGATGGATAACTTTCAACAAAGACTCGGTAACACAGTAGGATATGGCAAATAGTGACACTAGGAGAACTCTAGTCAAGACAGAGAAATTCTCAGGTGTGGTTTATGTGAAAATCCAATATCTGACTTTTGATCACAAAGAAAGAAACCTGTTTCCCATAGAGACCATCCAGATCTAAACCCAAACTATCAAGAGACAGAAATCTCACATACCCTAATCGAGAGTAAAGTCAGCAATTGTTTGATAAAAAAAAGTCAGCAATTATCAGCGATTTGTTCATCAATCTCGAGCTAGGGAAGACGATGAGAAATAGAATCGAAACAGAAACGAGCGAGATACCAATTCACAGACACTACTACTTAATGAAAACAAAACAAATTGGGAGAAAGCTCACAGGATCGAGAGCGTTAGGCTCGGGGCCGTAATCAGCGGTGAGGAGTAAGTAAGACGCAACAGCTGTGGCCACCATAGTCGTTCTTCTCACCACCTTGTCCACTTGTGGATTCATCTCAAACAAGCTGAAGAAGAGAAGAGGATACGAAATGTCTCTGGGAAAAGACTGAAACAAACAAAATTCGGGTGTTATCGAGAAACTAAAATATAAATTAAAAAACTCATTATATTCTCTTGGTTACTGACTAGGCCCGTTATAGGTTAAGTTAACATGGTCCCCAATTAGGCCCAGCTATATCATCACTACAACGTTTATTGTTGTTTGTTTTAATCCCAAGCTATTATGTATCAACTGAAACCAGTGGATTACCATAAAGAGGGGTTGAATATTACTACAAATGTTTTAGCATTCTGAACGGTCTCTTATCGTATGTATCAACTGAAACAATGAAGATTATTACCCTTTAGCTTTCTTTCCCTTTTCCAAGATAGTATTCAGGTCTGTGTGGAAGCTGAAATCTTTCTTGCTTCAAGGTCCGATCCATCCATAAGTGCCATCTGTGATTCCTTCTCCTTTCCCAAGGCAGCAAGTGCTGCAGACTGGAGATACAATGCAGCGTACCATACTGGGGAAATGCCTTGTGCTTTCATTGCATCCTCTAAGGCTTCTTTCGCCCTGTTACTCATCATGTAACTTAGACTGCGTCTCACACAGACTGTTGCAGATATCATTCCCAAGTCAAGAAACTGGGCCCAACATTTTATACACCGTCAAGCAAAGAGCAAGGTATTTGTTATCATGGATACAAATGCCAACGAAAGAAAGAAAGACAGACCTGAGTGTAAAACTCAATGGCTTCTTTTATGTCTTTCCGTCTAAATGCAATATCGCCTTTCTTCTTCGACTCTACAGCTTCTTGCATCTCGTCCGTCAACAGAAACGACACCTGCATTTAACAATATAATAAGCCTTCATCGGATGGGAACTATACAAGGGTTCTTCTAACTTCTAAAGTTTGATACAACAGTTTTAAAGCCTGTCGACTTACCAATTCGTCATCTTTGTATCCAATCTTATCCAACATCTCAAGCATAGCGTTCAGGTCCTTTCGCAAACAAGCCTCGCCAAAAGGAGATAAAGGTGACACTAAAGTACCACGACCCATTAGCACATGAGACGGGACCTCTGCATCTTTCTGGAGAGGTGTCAGTGCAGTTATCAAATGTTTTATGTTTGGTCGCCCACGAGCTTCATACTGAAGACAGCGAGATGCCAGGCGTACTAACTCAGCGCCATCGCTGTCGGAATATTGTCCCTTCAAACAAGAATCGGCTAGCGTCTGAAGATTTCTGTCTCGAATCAAATCAAGGGCCTACCACACAAGAGCACACGCTGAGATAAAATAGTAACGAGACTTCAAAAACAAAATGTTGATAGTACTAGCCACCATTTACACTTACATGGCTAGGAGGAATATGCTTTCCAGTGAAAATATCAAGCAGAAGAATACCAAAGCTGTAAATCACACTCTCTGCACTCATTCTCCCTGTAACAACACACTGTCAATCTCAATAACTAGAAAACAAGACCTACAAGGAGGGGGCAATTTCAATTTCACCAGTTCGTAGATACTCGGGAGGGGCAAAGGCAAGATTTGTGCTGTAACCTTTCCCATCCATGCTATTCTTCATCAAACCGAATGTTGAAAGTCTTGGATTGCATTCCTTAAATGGCAACAGCAGAGTCAGTGAAGGGTATATCATAAAAAAAGAAATGGTTTTCTCTGGGGAAAAGAGTTTAGTTTAGGGAATTACCTCGTCAAATAAAACTCTGTAAGCATTGAGGTCATGATACAGAGTGCGTCCTTTGTTACTACAATATTCAAGAGCTTCTGCAAGGTGTAAAACAACCCGTAGTCGCATCTCCCATCTCATCGGTTGTGTTTCCCCTTTTACAGAAAAAAAAAATGTGCTAAGCAAGTGGTCGTCCAAAAAGAGTATCAAATATAATCTTTGATCAAAGGCATGCTTACAGTGGAAAAGGTGTTTGGCTAGTGTCTCATTAGGCATGAACTTTGCCACAAGTAATCTCTCGCCGCCTTCACAGCAGCAACCGAGTAAAGTGGCCATTCTATTACTGCGTAGCTGACCAATCGATCTTGCTTCTTCCTGGAAACAAAGACACATAGAAATTTAGAAGAGACAAGTGATTAGCATCTAAAATAGTTGAAACAACGGAGGATGACATGTACCAGGAATAGGCGTGGATCAGGCCAGGCCAATCGAGAAAAGCGCTTGATAGCAATCTTCTGGTGATTCTCTAGCTTCCCTTTATAAACAACATTAGGAGGCGTTTCTCCATCTCGAGATACGACATTCTCCAAAGCGAAACCAGAGGTGGCCATCTTAAGCTGTTCTAGTGGGTATTCACGGAAAGGCAGCAAATCTGTTTCCTCACTGTACTCTTCGTTTTCTGTAATTTAAAGAATAAAAAAAAGGAAAACAGATAAGAGAAAAGAGAGCATGTGGTTCTCTAACAAGAGAGCGAAAAACAAAACAGAGACTTCACCAACATGGGGAGGTTCAGGAAGAGTAGTTTTGTGTGATGAATCCCAACAACATCTACCAATCTTAGAGCCTTGACCTCCCATTAAGGAATGGTCTCTTCACCAACTTGTTAATTAAAAAGAGATATCAAAGGAAAGATAAGAGTCTTTTCTACTTCGAAAACCATTGCAATTTGGGGACAGAAACAAGTAGTAGTACCTTGTCAACTCGCTGGCATTCTGGCGAGTCAACTCGTCCAGTGACAGTGAGACCGGTAAAAGAGACCAGTACGCCAAAAAAAAACTCCCTACAAATCAGAAAGGAATTCCAGAACGTTTCTCAATCAAACCGAAACGACAAGTTTCGATACCCCCTAGATCGCAAGTATGTGTAAGAACAGTTTGCTTCTTCTTTCTTTTGTCCAGTCAAACAATGTCCCAACAAGTCGATGGATATTATGGTTGGGAAAAGGCAACCAAGAATCTAGCGGCCACACAGAAATCAATTCATTTGACTGATTCATTTGACATTTACACACAGAAAAAACAACCACCTGTAATTTTAAGAATGATATGGATTTGGTGAAAAGCAAAGGAAGCAAGGGGTCCATCAATAAGGAAGATCGAGTTGCAAAAAAAAAGAGAGAGAGATGTTTCCCCGCCGTAATCGACCTTTCAGTTACAGGCCTCTTTATATGTACATGGGCTTTTGTTCCTCTCAACTTAAAAGGCTTTTTTCCGGAAAAAAAAATACATGAACACAGGTTTTAAAGGAGACAACAATCCTATGTTTTCTTTCATCGATTTAGTGATCTGTTTGGATCTAGTAGTTCATAATTTTAACTAGATCCGCACCCAAAAGAAAATTAAGTAGCAAGGTCTACGACCAATCCTGACGAAATAAAAAGTCCAAATTAACAAAAAAAACATGGACATCATCAACTTTCTCAATGATGACCGGATCAAGCTTCACCACATGTGCTCTACATGTGTATGGTTGTATAAAATATAGCCTCCCTCCCTCTAATACTATCTAATGTAACGTGACAGCATCAAAGTCTTCTTTGGTTTTAAAAGACGTGACCAGCCTAATGCCCCCCCAACCCGACCTACTTCTTTCTTCTTCCCCCACCCCCCTCCTCTAAAACCCCCCAACCATCTCTAGTTTCTCATCACCCAAAGCTGATTTTCTAGCAGACAACATGGTAAGTTCCTACAAATACATTTTTGTCATTCTAGTATTTGCCAATCGTGTAATGTCTTGTGATCATATCAGTTGACTATGCCCGTTTGTGTGTGTGTGTGTGTCTGTGCAGGCTAATTCAGCGTCTGGGATGCACGTAAGCGATGAGTGCAAGCTCAAGTTTTTGGAGTTGAAAGCAAAGAGGAACTATAGGTTTATTGTATTCAAAATTGATGAGAAAGCTCAGCAAGTTACAATAGATATGGTTGGGAATCCAGAAGAAACTTACGACGGTTTCACTAAATGTATGCCTGAGAACGAGTGCCGATATGCTGTCTATGACTTCGACTTCACCACTCCTGAAAATTGCCAGAAGAGCAAGATCTTCTTCATCGCATGGTACACAACCTTATTTCCCCTTGTCATGATTATTATATAGACTTTTTCTTACATCATATGAGACATCGGCATTCTTCAGGTCACCTGATTCATCAAGAGTTAGGAGTAAGATGTTGTACGCAAGCTCAAAGGACAGATTCAAGAGGGAACTGGATGGAATTCAGGTTGAATTGCAAGCAACTGACCCTAGCGAGATGAGCCTCGACATCATCAAAGGCCGAGTCAATCTCTGAATGCATCTTAATTCGTTTCAGTCAAATTCGTATTTTCTGCTTTCGTTTTCCCGTTTTACTTTTTTCTTCTTCTTATTTTAATTTTATGTGATCCACCACTTTTTGGAATGTAATACTCATAATAATAGTTAACTATTTTGCTTCTCTAAACAAAGCTGTCAAAATTCAAATTGGATGATAGAGAGATAGATAGAGCAAAAAGGAAGACATACATACCTCAGGACCAATTTATCAGAAAATCCTCGTAGTTTGGGGGTTTTGTAAGCCAATTGTTGAATGGATACTTTCCTTTAAATTTCTTTGACATCAAAGAATATTCAGTTGCTTTGTCCTGAACATTTTTTAAGAAAAGAAGTAAATTATGTCAGAATAAATGGAAGAACAACATCACAAACTTGCAGCATGCATGTCAAATACTTGTTATGAGATTCATATATGTTAGTAGTGCCAGTGGAAGCATGTTCACGCAGAATTAAGAAGCAGAGAAGAGACAGTATCATATGCACCTTCAGTTCTCGATAAGATCCTTTTGACTTAGAAGATTCACTTTCGTGTCCATCAATTTCTTTCAAGAACAGCTCCAGAAACCGCTGTCTATGAAAATTTAATGAATATGGTATCGCACATGCTAATTATGACTAGAAATAACAAAAGTTCTCTCCCTTACTTGCATATAGATGATTGAGTAGACGGATAGAGAGCTCCTTTGGCTGAGGTACCTTGCTTTCTACCGGTTGTTCCAAGAATAACTTCGTGTAAGCCAGAACGGTTCCAACACAAGGAATAACTAAGAGACAACAAATCAATAAGAAACAAAGAAAAGACACATGTGTCATGTGATGAAGAGTTACGGACATTGAAAACTGACCCGCATGTTAAGGTAGCTTGAGCAGTTTCTGAATGCTGAAATTCTGATGGTGGTACTGGAGCTACAAAAAACAGTGGCTGTAAAGGAATTAGAACAATGTCTCCAAGTAACTAGTGAAAATTACATGGAAATGAAGCAACTAATGAACCTTGTTCACACGGAAGGAAGGCAGTAGCTCATCGGATAATGGAAGGATCCTCTCATACAAAGATCTTCGTAAGTGATCAGTGAAAGAAAAGTTGTCAGGAGAGTGCAGAGATTGTCCAACGGTGATGGTAGAGATATACATAGGCTGAAGGAACTGGCAAAGCAAAGCCCCTGATGCAAGAACACAAGTTTTAACATCCCATACGCAAATCGTGGAGTGACACAACAGATTATCAGTCAAACTTGAGATACAGAGCTTCCACGTAACAAAACCCATTAGACAAATATTTGATGACATATTTGCATGATGCAGCTAAGAGTTTATAACTGCTAGCAAAAACATTAAGAGATAGCAGAAGAAACCTTGAAGACCAAGAACATTCCATCGAGCGATCTTATCGGAACAGCTAACAGAGAGAGTGGTTTGACCGCGACCAGGCTTTCTTTGTACTATGTCTGTTGCATTACCTGAAATGGAGAACATTACATCCTAAGTCAATAACTGAAACATTCTTGCAACTACGAGGCAGAAGAGTGTGAATACCTATACCTGACAATGACTGATCAGCTAGTTGTGCTGATGGAAGCTTTTTGAGTGCATAGAGAGGTGAAGAAGTAGAAGCATAACCACCTACATGTAAATGCCAAATTGAGGATATTCTTGAAAGGAAAGGAACTCTAGTATTGACAAGGCAGATAGAAGTAGAGATGAGATTACAAGGCAACTGAGAAATGTAGAGGTGCAAGTGAGACCCAGATTTGAGCTTATATTTAACAACATCCCCAGGACCAGGAGAGCTAGACTCTAGTATTTGGATATCATCATCATTATCATGTCTCTGACGCTTGGCATCGTTGCAACATGTTCTCCTCTGCATCCGCTGAATCTGAGAATAGAAGAACCTGAGGAGAGATCTTCGGGCGACAACTTCGGCATGAGAATCGTTGACAATGTCACCACGGGGACTCAACAGCGACCTACTAACGCACTTCGTTCCCGTCCCTATTGCTATCACTTCCGCTTCTGCACACACACACACACACACACCATTAAACAAACCCCCCTTCCTTTATTATCCACTACTCAAAGCTCAATCCAGAGAGAGATACCACTTTGTGAAGATGAGACGAGGAAAGCGGCTAGGACCGTGACTTCACGCCCTTGAGGTTTCCCCTTCTTCGGTAGAGCGTTATACGCCGATACTACCTTCTCTGCCACTATCTCTCCCCAATTATCCGAGAATCCTTCCTCCATTCCACTCCCCACCTTTTGCTTTTGCTTTTGATTTTGCTTTCCTCCTCTTTTGAGTGTTCGTCTTTTGAGTGACAGATTGGGGGAAGAAAGCAAGGGACTTGCGTATAAATAATTTAAAGTTTAGGGACCCCTTAACTAAATATTAATCAAATTTTGGATAAGCTTAGAGAGGAATTACACAATTAACCATTAAGTAACTATAATTAAGAGCATGTCCAACGCGGGCTGGGTGGGAGTCCTTAAGCCCAATCCTTAGTCCGTTTTTGATTAAAAAAATATTATTTGTTTGGGTTGGGTTAAGAATGAGTCCTTCTATACGAGACTTAAGGAACAAGTCCTTCATGACGTGTCCATGACGCGTGCTTTTGTTTTGGGGTTAAAAAAAAATCGTTTCATTTGCTCGACCGAAAAGAAAAAAAAAAGGAGACGAGGCGATAGCGAAGGCGACTCGGAGATCTTGAATCTCGAAGGTAAATCTGATAGTTTTTACCGATTGATTTTGTATCTGAACCTCATGCATGTTGATTCCAAAGGTTTTTACCGATTGATTATGTCGATTTGGGGATTTTAGGGTTTGAAATCGATTTGGGTATTTTTATCGAATTAGGGTTTTTGTCTGGGTTAGCTATTTTCTTCTTTTAAACTCATTTATTTGTTGTTATCGACGGGAGTAAGGCGTGGGATAGTTTTAGAAATCGATCTCTGGGTTTTTGTTTTTCGGATTTGAAATTTTTTAAAGTTTTTTGAATGAAATTCTTGTGGGTTAGCTATGTTCTTCTTCTAGATTTGTTTCTTTGCAGAAACGATTCGTGTTTAAGCTATCTTTATTGTTTTCTTTGTTAGCCTTATTGTCAAACTTAATTACTTGTCCTTCTTCTAGGTTCTAAAATGGATGAAGAACAGCGTGATATGGAAGCAAGGAGAGCCTACTACAACAGGCTTCAAGCTGTCGCAGATGCTCAACAAGGGATTCCCAAAATCTGTCCCTGTGGATCAATCACGAAGGAGATAGTAGATGAGGAGGATACATACGACTACCTCCCTGGGAAAAGATATTTCGTCTGCAAAGATTTTCAGGTTTGAAGTGTTGACTCTCATATGTAATTAAGGTTTTTGATTGTGAAGTTTGACAAAGGTTTTTATGTATTGGCAGAATGATGGGTTGCATTTCAGACAACCATGGGTTATGGGAGTAGAACAAGAGGTTGAGCGGCTCAAACTTCGGGTTCATGATCATGAGAAACTTCTTAGAGAGTGCCAGGAGCTTAAGGTTAGTTATTTACACGTTTTTAACTTTGATTAATTTTAATATTTGATTGGTTTCTTTCATGTATCTTCAGGCACAGGTGAGGATGTTGGTTGTCCGTGTGGCTGAACTTGAGAGAGCTATATGAGGTTAGTCAAACTTTGAAATCTTTGAAATCACTTGAAATGTAGTTCGAAAGTAACCAACTTCGTTTAAAATCTTTGAAATCTAAAACCTTTAAAAATTAGAAAGTAACCAACTTCAGTAACCAAATTAAGTCAAACTTTTAAAGCTAGTTCGAAAGTAACCAACTTTGTTTAAACTTTCAAACTTCATACTTCCATTTAATTCTTCCTAACCACTTCCTTGTAGCTGGTAAACTCCATTAAATGACTTGTACTAGTTCTGATTAGATGGGTTTCTACTACAATTGAATACAATTACATAGAATCCCTTATTTAACCATCCTACTTCCTTAATCCTCCTCGTTGCTAGTAGACAAACACCAAAACCTCCTTACCAAATGGCTTCCTCATCTAGTATCATTGACCTCTTAGCGAGTCAAGGGTCGATTGACCTTGAGTCATCCTCTCCTCTTTCCTTTAGTACCCCATGTCCTGAAGAGTCTAGTGTCAAAGACTCTAGGAGAAAATGGACAGCGATGGAGGATAAAATCCTCATCGGTGCTTGGCTCAACACAAGCAAAGATGCTGTAGTTGGTAACCAACAGAAAGCTGTTGCCTTCTGGAAGAGGATTGTTGAGTATTACAATTCCAGTCCTCTCCTGGTTGGCTGGGTGCCTAGAGAACTAGGACAATGTAAACAGAGATGGGCTAGAATCAACGATTTAGTGTGCAAGTTTTGTGGCTGCTACGATGTTATTCTTAGGGACCCGAAAAGTGGGCAAAGCGATAACGATGTCGTGAGTGCAGCGTTGACCCTATTCAACAATGACCAGGGGATGAGGTTTACCCTCGAACACGCGTGGAGAGAGCTTAGGTTTGACGTGAAGTGGTGTGCCACCTACCTCGGGAAGGACACTGCCAAAGAGAAACGCAAACCAGTGGCAGAGGCAGAAGAGAGACCAGAGGGAGTTAAAGCTGCTAAGTCTGGTGGCAAGAAGAAGAAAGGTGGAAAAGAAGAGGAAATCTCCAAGATACAAGTGCTGTTGTCCATGAAAAACCAAATCTCTAGACAAAACTTGCTTGAAAGTTTGCTTAATAAGCTCGAACCACTAGATGAGATGGAGTTAGCTCTAAAAAAGAAACTTATGGCTGAAATGATGTGATGATTATTGGTGTGTTACTCTTAATAGCTCTCACTGTAGTTTACTAATCTTATTAGCTCTAAGTGTAGTTTACATTGCTGGCTTGTTTACTAATCTTACGTAACTCTTTTATTTCAGGTCAAGACAAGAGTTGTTGAGTTGGCAGGGGATGTTGTACTTTGCTTTGTTGGTCACGAGATGCTTTGCTGTGTTTGGTTTGTTTTTTTCTTAGTTGGTCACGGATGCTTTGCTGTGTTTGGTTTGTTTTTTTCTTTCTGTTTTCACGGGTTGACAGAACCAAGTCACGGGTTCTCTCTAGTAGCTACTTGTTCTCTTTATATTAAGTTGTTGGTCACGGCTTGAAGAGCTATTTTACTTTGCTCTTGTTGTACTCGAAATTTCTTTCTTTTGTATTTGCTGCTGTTGTACTCAAGTTCATTGTAAGATTCCAACGTCTATTGTACGAAAACTCTATTTGGTAAGACTCCATCAATGTAAAATTTCAAGTTTACATTTTGCTTTGCTTTGTTCTTCTTTTGTAAAATAAACTTGTCAAATACCATTCCAAGTTTAAACTCTATTCGTTTGCTCTGTTCTTCTTTCAAGTTAACATATATAAGAACAAGTTTAAACATTATGTATAAACAAGTTTAAACATTATGTATGAACAAATTTAAATGTTTTAAATGTTATGTAGGAACAAGTTTAATAAGTATCACTTGCATTTTAAAACATGGTGCTAGTCGATTATATGGATCATAATTCATACTCTCTACAATATACTCTGTTTGTGTAATTATTATTCATTTTCATCAATTATTTCTACGATGTAGTTGTGATAAACGGAAGAAATAAAAGTGATTTTTATTGTTGTCATTTACATAGTTAATTATTAATGAAATACTCTCTATTAATTTAGTCATTTTTCCATTTGCTTTGAAGGATAGTCAAATATGGCAGATGAAGTCGATCGAAGATTGTATGCAGTTGTGGATGAGGCTATCGACGAATACATTGAAGATTCATACAACAACATCGTAGAAAATCGGACAGTTAGACCGAGGAGACGGGCATATCACGACCGAGATCGTGAAGCAGGCCACAACCGTCTATGGAATGACTACTTCTCTGATGATCCGACATATCCACCTCATTTATTTCGACGCCGTTTCCGCATGAATAAGGAATTATTCATGCGAATTGTGGATCGTCTATCTGAAAATGTTCGATTCTTTCAGCAGAGAAGAGATGCTGTTGGCAGGTTAGGTCTATCTCCAATACAAAAATGCACGGCAGCTATTCGTATGCTTGCTTATGGTTGTGCAGCTGACGCCGTTGACGAATATCTTCGACTCGCCGAAAGCACTGCACTATCGTGTTTAAGCCACTTCACAGAAGCCGTGATACAATTATTTGGGGATGAATATCTACGGAAGCCCACCCCAGAGGATCTTCAGCGGCTACTCGATATTGGAGAGATGCGCGGTTTTCCCGGGATGATAGGAAGCATCGACTGTATGCATTGGGAGTGGAAAAATTGCCCAACCGCTTGGAAAGGACAATACACACGCGGATCAGGCAAGCCGACAATAGTCTTGGAGGCTGTAGCTTCACAAGACCTTTGGATATGGCACGCCTTTTTTGGTCCTCCAGGTACGTTAAACGATATTAACGTCCTCGATCGATCTCCTGTTTTTGATGACATCTTACATGGTCGAGCACCAACGGTACAATACGTGGTCAACGGACACCAGTATGATTTGGCGTACTACCTCACTGACGGTATATATCCTAAATGGGCAACATTCATCCAATCTATCTCACTCCCTCAGGGTGATAAAGCAGAGTTATTTGCAAAAGTTCAAGAAGCAACCCGGAAAGATGTGGAACGTGCTTTTGGAGTCTTGCAAGCTCGATTTGCGATAGTGAAAAACCCTGCAGTTTTGTGGGACAAGACACAAATAGGTATGGTTATGCGAACATGTATCATTCTACATAATATGATAGTAGAAAATGAACGCGATGGATACACTCAGTATGATACATCCGAGTTTGAAGAAGGAGACTCGAGCAGAAGTTCACAGGTTGATATGTCATATTCTACCGAAATACCTTCAAATCTCGGTAACTTGTTTGTCAGACGGAACCATGTTCGCGATCGGCATATACATAATCAATTGAAAGAAGATTTGATCGAAAATATATGGAACAAGTTTGGTAATGATGATGATGTTTAATTATTGTATGTTAACATTTACTCTTTCAATAAATAAAATTTTAATGTTTAATTATTGTATGTTAACATTTACTCTTTCAATAAATAAAATTTTAATGTTTAAATGTTTTACAAATTAAATAAATTAAAAAAAAAAATCTTAAGGATTCTATGACGGGTAACACCATTGGACGGCTATTTTTGACTAGAGTCCTTAACTATTCTAAAAAAAAAAAAAAAACATATTTTAGTCCTAAGGACTCCAATGGTGAGTAACACCATTGGAGTTGCTCTAACCTCCTTCGAGAATGTTTCAAACAAAACAAAAAACCTCCTTCGAGTGTGTGTCTTTTCTCGTCTGTTGATTTGATGCATCTTATGGCTGTGACTTGTGGGACTTTACAGTGTGTGTGTTTCTGTCTTTTTTTTTTCTTTGTTATATATGCACTGAAACTAGTTCTTTGTTAAAAGAGAGCTTATGTGATTTTTCTGCTTATGATAAAATGCATGTATGTACCCGGACATAAGATGGAGATTGTTCTTAAAAAGCTTTTGGTGTGTCGTCTCCCTCATTACCTCCCATACTAAACAAAGCTCTAAGTCCGCTCCTAGTTATCAATTTATAACCTGTTGCATAAAATCTATTTCTCAGTTTCTAATTAAATGTTTAAGTTATCTAGGATAATGTGGAAAACTAGACTTGAGCACACCTAACAAACACATCAGAGTCAGATACCCCTCCTCAACATCATTATCCAGTTGCTTCATATACTGTATATACTATCGGAAACTCATATATAGGTATGTGAAGCTCGATGAAACGTATATTAGACGGTGGAATCAACTGTTCCAGAAAGAATTTGATCGTCATGGAAAGACAAACTCAGATCTCATATTGTGTCAACAATTTGTGTTAGGAGACTACCTTTTAATTTGTACTTTACATCACATAATTTTTCTTATTCAAATCAATAACTGTATGGTCATCATGTTTAATTTATGCAAACGTGACTTGCATACTACACTTTATATTTCTATTGAATAAATCGACTTAGTGGTGTTTCACTTTCTGTTTATCCCTTTAAATCTATATAAAGTACTTGCATTTACAACTGGATATCTTGATATAGTAATGCATACATTAAAAGCATATTTTATTGACTAAAGAAAGTATTTTTTTGGTTGGTATAATGTTATATTTATTTTATAGGTTCAGTTAAACATCTGACATGGGTTGCACCAACTCAGAGACAGTTGGCTTAAAGTAATATCCTCGACGGGTTTGAAATTGTCAGAAACCACATTCCCTTCTTTTGCTCAACCCCAATCACTTTGCCACCCTAATTTATCTCATCATCTTACAGAACACAAAGATAGAGAGACAGAAAGTTTGTTACGTTACAACCTCACAATTGCATCAACGTTTCGTATAAGAGAAGACACAAATTTCGCTGGTTCCTCCTTTGTCTGAGGTAACGAATAAAATTCTTGATTTCTTTTTGTGGGGTTCCTTCTTCGATTGCTTCCTCAGACGACCTCTTTGTCTGATTCATCTAGGATCTTGGAGAGGAGGAAACAACAAACCAAACAAAAACAAACAAAAAAACAAAAAAGAATGTCTTTCACAGGAACTACTGATAAATGCAATGTTTGCGATAAGCCAGTCTATGTGATGGACATGTTGTCCATTGAAGGAATGCCTTACCACAAGTCTTGCTTCAGATGCACCCATTGCAATGGCACCCTTCAGGTAATTTCATTCACTTACAAGATCCTTAATTTGGTTCCTGTTTTTATTTTTGCTTAGATTTTGTGTGTTATGTTTTCTATATATGATAATGCCATTGCCATAATGCCATGTTCTACTAATAATTTCACATTTAGAAACAATACTCATTGTATGAGAAACTGTTGATGATGATGCATATATGGCAGATGAGCAACTATTCATCCATGGACGGAGTCTTGTACTGCAAGACTCATTTTGAGCAACTCTTCAAGGAATCTGGCAATTTTAGCAAAAATTTCCAACCAGGTTCATTCATATGACTCTATATGTATCTCCAGCAGTATATAGTTTCTCTAATCTTTCTACATTGATATATGAAACCATGCATCATGATTGAACACATTTTCTTTTCTTTTCTCAGGAAAAACAGAGAAGCCGGAGCACGTACGTTCATTATAATTCTCTTTCTCTTCAGATTTCTTTTTTTGTTTCATCTCTTATGATTGACCAATTAATATAGGATCTGTATTTTAAATGTATTGATATCAAACACTAATCACAGGCTAAGACTCCAAGCAAGTTATCTTCAATCTTCTGTGGAACACAAGACAAGTGTGCTGCTTGTGAGAAAACTGTTTACCCTCTTGAAAAGGTAGGTTTGTCTGGCACTATGGCTTGTTGAATAATCTACAGTTTAACAGCTTTGACTCGAATTAATGACTTGACTTTATATATTTTTTTTAAAAAAGGTGCAAATGGAAGGAGAATGCTTCCACAAGACATGTTTCAGGTGCGCTCACGGTGGCTGCACGCTGACTCATTCCTCATACGCCTCCCTAGACGGCGTCCTCTATTGCCGGCATCACTTTAACCAACTCTTCCTCGAGAAAGGCAACTATGCTCACGTCCTCCAAGCAGCCAACCACCGTCGCACCGCCTCAGGCAACTCTCTTCCTCCGGAGCCAACCGAAGAGGTCGCCGTCGAAGCTAATAAGGAAGAGAACGACGTTTGACAGTCTTGAAAAAATATCGTCCGGTGAGTTGGTTGTGAGAGATTTGAATGAATATGTTGCATCAAAATATTTGATATCATTAATTTGTAATGAGTTGTTTTCATATATAAAGATAATTATTTTTCTTGTTTTCTGATTTACATTATCTATTATTACTAAGCACGAAGAAAGCAAAATTTCGATGTTCAACTGTGTGATTATGACATGTTGGTGTATAATGGAGATTCGTAGTCTACACTTGGAAGTGTCATTTCGTAATCTTGATCTTTAGAGCACCCCCATCAATGAACTGATGGGGGAGATTCACAAAAAAAAAAATTAATTTTTTTCTTTTTTTTATTCGTTTGTTATTTTTCTTTAAAAAAAAAAAATTTGGACTAATTGCGAGCCGCAATGTGGCATGTGGCCCGCGGAACAGTGGTGAACCAGGTTCAGCCCAGTAATACTCAGCAAGCCAGATTCACAGTTTTTATTATTTTTTTTTTTTTGTTTCTTGGTTTTTGTGTGAAAACCCCCCCATTGAACCTTCAATGGGGGTGCTCTTAGTATTCATGGGTTTTGAATGATATGTGAATTCAATGTTTGTCATTTATCACAGTGGAGATGATTTTGATGTACGGAAGGGAAAGAAAGAAAGTGTATATGCTTTCCATGTGAAAGAATATCTGTTGGGTTATATAAGCCAAAAACGTTATCCATATCAAACCAGCTGGTTATGAGATGATATGCATCATACAAAATACAATTAATTTCGAGGGATGCTTTCGTAAATTTAACAAGAAAAATAAAACCTTACCATTTTTGGTTGGCGAGAAACTCAAAAGGTGAAGAGAGAGAGAGAGTGAGAGAAACTTTGACCGGAGAATTTGAAGAGACGGAGGAAAATCTCTTTTCACGACGTCGGCGCTGAGGATTTTGAATATCAGAAGAAGAAGAAGTCACTCCCACTTGGAGTTCTCTTTAGCTCGCAAAACTCTCTCTATATATATTTCCACCATTTCGCATGGTTTGTGAGTCTTCTTCTCTCTTGTGCGTTGGCCATTGTCTTCGTTTAATCATATCTCTCATCATTCCCCGGATTCTGATTCTGATTCTGATTCTCGTTTCAACTCTGAATGTGTTTATTTACAATTTGCTTCAGAGAAGTGTTTCAGGGCTACTTTTAAGTTAACTCAGACATGGAATCTGCGTGTAGCATTCACCGGCCGAATTTCTGCTTCTCAAATCTGCTCATCAGTGGTCCCAAAGGAATCAACAATTCGTTTCATTTTGGTAATCGATCCAGGAAAAATGTATCACCAAGTGCTTTGTTGATGAGTGGGAGCTTTTACTTGCGTCCTTCAAAATCAATAGTTGCCTATGCCCGCCTACCTAAGCATATCCCCTTTCGATTTAGGATAACCTGTCAAGGCAATGATTCCCTTGCTAATGCGGAAAGTAATGATCAAAGTGAAGAGAATGATGAAAGCGAATCTGATAGCTTGGAGGAACTCAGGGAGTTACTTCACAAGGCTACCAAAGATTTGGAAGTTGCTAAGCTCAATAGTACCATGTTCGAGGAAAAGGCTCAGAGGATTTCTGAAACTGCGATAGCACTCAAGGACGAAGCCGCTAGTGCTTGGCATGAGGTTAACAAAACCCTCGATGTCATGCGAGTTACGGTTGATGAGGAATCTGTTGCTAAAGAAGCTGTTCAAAGCGCTACAATGGCCTTATCTCTCGCTGAGGCAAGGCTTCGGGTTGTTCTGGAATCACTTGAAGAAGCAGCTGCAAGTAATGGTATTCCAGATTCCTCTGTAGAGAATGAGAAAAGAGACAGTGTTGAAGGTAGAGAAGAAGCTCTTTTAGCTGCGAAGGATGACATAAAAGAATGCCAAGTGAATTTAGCAAATTGTGAGGCCCAACTGACTTGTTTGCAGAGCAAGAAAGACGAGCTCCAGAAGGAAGTCGACAAGTTGAATGCCTTTGCTGAGACAGTGCAGATTAATGCCTTAAAAGCAGAGGAGGATGTCGCAAATATCATGAAATTGGCTGAACAAGCTGTCGCTTTTGAGCTTGAGGCTACTCAACGCGTTAATGACGCTGAGATTGCTTTGCAGAGAGCTGAGAAGTCTCTCTCCATCCCGCTGACCTCAGAAGAAACTCAGGGCCAACTCTCGGATGAAGAAACAACCCTCGAGGAGCAGGAGGTGGTACTCTCAAATAATTCTGAAGATGCTAGTCATCAGGCTGAAAGAGATTCACTAATACATGAAGATATCTCAGCGGTGATGAACACAGCTGATCATGTGCCTGATAAAGTTGGTCAGGAGGCTCAAAAACCGACTAAGCCTTATGATTCTAGCGATAATGATAATGGGAAGCCAAGTGTAGAGTCTTCTAAAGTGGTGGATACAGATTCTGAAAAGTTAAAAATTGCTGTTCAGACGAAAAAACAAGAAACACAGAAAGATCTTCCAAAAGAGGGCTCTTCTCTTAATACACCCAAGGCATCGTTTAATAAATCCTCTCGTTTCTTTTCTGCATCTTTCTTCTCTTCCAGTTCAGATGGGACCACGACAGTGTTTGCGAGTCTGGTTAATTCTGCCAAACAGCAATGGCCCAAGCTAGTTATTGGGGTTGCACTTATCGGGGCAGGGTCAGTTTCAAAATCCACTCTTCATTTTCATCATTTTTGTACTTAAGTGATGTCTTTACCATTCTTGTTCATTCCAGACTGACATTATACTCCAATGGAGTAGGCGGGAACAATCAACTGCTTCAACAGCCAGATGTCGTCAGCACTAGTACAGAAGGTGTCTCTTCCAGTAAGGAGCCGTTGATCCGGCAAGTGCAGAAACTTCCCAAGAGAATTAAGAAACTGCTTGAGATGATCCCTCACCAGGAGGTATGGATGATTGCTCTCGTTCTTTCTCAAAGTCTCAAGCAAAGTGTATGGAATGTAGTTTGCAGTCTGAAACTTCTGCAATTATTAGGTCAATGAGGAAGAAGCTTCTCTTTTTGATTTCCTGGCGTTACTGCTAGCAAGCGTCATATTTGTGCCTCTGTTTCAGAAAATTCCTGGAGGTAAGAAGGAGCCTTCTTATTATTTCTCCAAGGCTCTTATCAGTGAAAAACATATTTAGTCTCGCAATCATGTTGCCTAGCGATTAAAGTGCTGTCTTGATGGCTTCACCTGCTTCAATCTACAGGCAGCCCTGTTCTTGGGTATTTGGCAGCTGGAATTCTGATTGGTCCGTATGGTCTTTCGATAATCCGTAATGTGCATGCAACCAAAGCCATTGCAGAATTTGGAGTTGTTTTCTTGCTTTTCAACATTGGCCTTGAGGTACTATTTGATATATGTGAATGCTACGGTTTTGCTTTCGAACTGTGTTCGGTAGAAGAGCCCATTTTTTTTTATTTTCTTTTGGTTTGACAGCTATCTGTTGAAAGACTGAGTTCCATGAAGAAGTATGTTTTTGGATTAGGCTCCTCTCAGGTGATTTGATCATTTGAAGATCCCTTTATCTCATTCCACATAATTTTATCCAAGTTCTCTAATCTACCTTTCTATTGTTGTATTTTAGGTTCTGGTGACAGCAGCAGTAGTTGGTCTGATTACCCATTATGTTGCTGGTCAGGCTGGTCCAGCGGCAATAGTTATCGGAAATGGCCTGGCACTGTCTTCCACTGCTGTTGTCCTTCAGGTGACATTTTGGTTGTAATTTATTATTAATGAAAGGAATTTTATTTCACAAAAAAACAATGTACTTGGTTTTCAGGTTCTACAAGAACGGGGTGAGAGTACATCTAGACATGGACGGGCTACATTTTCCGTCTTGCTCTTTCAGGTCGGTTCAGAACAGATTTCATAAATACTTCTCTGCTGGAGGTTTCTCATCACCTTGTTATTATTTTTTTTCCCGCAGGATCTAGCTGTAGTTGTTTTACTGATCCTCATCCCACTTATCTCACCTAATTCATCGAAAGGAGGGGTAAGTTCATCTCTAGGGTCCCTGTGTTTTTTTTCTTCAGTACGGTTTGCTTTTGTATTCAACGCCATGCATTGGCAGTCATCTAAGTAAGAGCTTTGATAGTTTAATCGCTGCTCCTCTGAAGAAGAAATGTATGGCTATCTAATAAGAAGTATCAGTGGTAAAATGCTAAGTTTCCACCTCGTCCTTCTCAGATTGGGTTTCAAGCAATTGCTGAAGCTCTTGGACTTGCTGCAGTCAAAGCAGCAGTTGCTATTACCGCTATAATTGCTGGTGGTCGTCTTGTAAGTCTCTGATATCAAAATAACATAACATTTTTTCATGAACTTTCCATGAAAGTTTGCTGTGTTATTATCTAAGGCATTGACACTCTTGTGACACACAGCTTCTTCGGCCAATCTACAAGCAAATTGCAGAAAATCGAAATGCCGAAATATTCTCTGCCAACACACTTCTTGTTATCCTTGGGACCAGTTTACTGACAGCTAGGGTATGACCTTTATCTTTTTGGTACTTGGCATTTGCATTTAATCCGCTATGCGCCCTTCTTTCTCTTCTGCTAATTTTCTTCGTTTATATAAATCAGGCTGGACTCTCCATGGCATTAGGAGCGTTTTTGGCTGGTCTACTCCTGGCGGAGACAGAATTTTCCTTGCAAGTGGAATCAGATATTGCTCCTTATCGTGGTCTCCTGCTGGGACTTTTCTTCATGACGGTAATTTATGAGTTTCAAAATTACTTTATCCATATATTGATCCTTTCTGAAAAGAACCAGGAGACTGTTGATGGTGAAAGGAAGTATTGTTTCTGTTTGCGTGAGCTTGTAATGTTTCTTTCAACTGTAAACATATTTAATCACAAAAGAGTTTTTCTCATTTCAGGTTGGCATGTCTATTGATCCGAAACTTCTTCTCTCTAACTTTCCTGTCGTAATTGGATCTTTGGGACTCTTGATAGTGGGCAAGACTATATTAGTCGTAATAATGGGAAAATTGTTTGGCATTTCAATCATATCTGCAATTAGAGTCGGTCTTCTTCTGGCTCCAGGCGGAGAGTTTGCATTTGTTGCTTTTGGAGAAGCTGTCAATCAGGTTTGTTATTAGCATGATGTCTTTTTTTTTTTATATATATAGGCAAAGCTTCTTGAAAACATAATGGCCTCACCTGTGGGGTTTCCAGGGTATAATGTCTCCTCAGCTGTCTTCGCTACTGTTTCTTGTGGTGGGAATCTCTATGGCTATCACACCTTGGTTAGCTGCTGGTGGCCAGTTAATTGCATCCCGGTTTGAGTTGCATGATGTTAGAAGTTTATTACCGGTTGAAAGTGAGGTAGGAATCTTGATTATATGTGTACAGAATTTTTAACTCTGTCAGCAATAATGGTAACCTCTAACTAGTGTTTTAAAATCACACGTTATTTGCCACAGGAAATCATTACAAGGCTATCTCATGTCTAATCTCTCTTATTCTTGTATGGTTTTGTTTTGCAGACGGATGATTTGCAGGATCACATAATTATTTGCGGATTTGGACGAGTTGGTCAGGTTTAAAACTATATGAACTTCTTCATTTATGCTCTTTAGACGAGAACATCTGTGCAGATGGTCTGCGTCACAGGGTATCTGGGAGTTTCTAAATTCGTCGCCATTGTCTATTTGTAACTTGCAGATAATTGCTCAGCTTCTCTCAGAAAGACTTATTCCGTTCGTTGCCCTCGATGTCAGCAGGTAACATAACTTCGGTTATTTATATCATGTATTGTCGAAGCAGCGAATCGAAAGTGGTTACCTGAAAACGTCATATTTTAATTACAGTGATAGAGTGACGGTCGGACGTTCCATGGATCTTCCTGTTTATTTTGGGGACGCTGGTAGTAGAGAGGTACGAAAAGAAAAAGAGTTGCATCATGAAAAGGAGTTACAAACTATACCAGACATTTGAACATTACGTTACTTGTTTAAACAAACAGGTTCTCCATAAAATTGGAGCTGAGAGAGCATGTGCTGCTGTGGTTGCTTTAGACGCACCAGGGGCAAACTACAGATGTGTGTGGGCTCTGAGCAAGTACTACCCGAATGTGAAGACCTTTGTCCGTGCACACGACGTTGTTCATGGTCTTAATCTAGAAAAAGCTGGTGCTACTGCTGTAATGCTCACAAAACCCCCTTCACATTCCACCAGATAAGACATATACGTTCTTGATCGTAACGCTAAAATATCTCGAACACCGAAAATCGTAGGTTGTACCGGAGACTCTGGAGCCAAGTCTACAGCTGGCAGCTGCTGTTCTTGCTCAGGTAATAAAACATAATGGTCTTTTGTCTGTGGAAATAATCATTAGACACAGTTGTATGATCATTTTGTGGGTTAAAACCTTGTCAGGCCAAATTACCGACATCAGAAATAGCAAATACGATAAACGAGTTCAGAACCCGTCACCTGTCTGAACTAACAGAGGTGCGTTTCATTTTGGATCAAATTCAAGTCCTTTTTAATTAAATATGTATAACGAGAGTCTGGTTTGGGTGTAAATTGAATGTAACGGTAATGGCAGCTATGTGAAACCAGTGGAAGCTCATTGGGGTATGGTTTCTCGAGGACGACGAGTAAGACTAAACCACAAGCGTCTGATGCATCGGACGATAACCAGATAATGGAAGGAGGCACACTCGCTATCTGATGACCCGGTAAGAAGAAGAAGAAGAGTTTGCAGTATTCACCATATTGTGGTGGTCATATTTTTGGTGGTAGTTTGGGTGTGTATGTATGGGATGCGATCGAAATGATTAAATGTTCAGTACATATCTCTCATCTGAGAAGAAGTACATTTGAACAATTCAAGAGGGAGATATGATAAAACAAAGAATGTGTTGTATAAAAAGAAAATCAACCAGCAGAGCAAGTAAGTGTTAGCTAAGCATCTGTTTCTGAGCAACCTCCTCCAGAACCAAAAGATAATTTTTTAAAATCTTATAAGCAATTTGAAGAGTAATAAATTGATAATGATATATGAATGTGATGAAAGTGGGACAGTGATGAGCGAAGAGTTATATAATTGGATATGATATTTGTTTGTTAGCAGCCATTGAATAGTGGAATATACAGAAGGCATGACTGAGACAAATAAATAAATAGGCAAGCACTGTTATATATGGCTAAAGTAAAGTAAGTGTGTGTGTCATCATAGATTGGCAACAACAAAAGAAGAATTGATTAGAGAATATGTTGTTGAGGGAAAAGGTAATAGTTAAGACTTAAGAGGGGGTGTTATTGCAAAAAAAGAAAAGCTGTTTTGAATGGCATGAAAGGTTGGTGGTGGCACTTTCTCGTTTCGATTCTTCATTCACTGGAAGAGTCGCATAAAATCTGTTTAAACAGAAACTCATCAGAGAGAGAGAGAGAGGAGGCCACTTTGATTAGTCACTAAACCCTCGATTTCCCTCGTACTCCTCCGTTACACCCATTAATTAATATATTTCATGATCGGGTTAGTGTAGTCTCTCTCTCTCTCTCTCTCTCTGTGCTTTGCGATTGTATTCGTCTGAGGTTTTGCATTTCGTTTATGGACTTCGTTTACGTTTGTGATATTTTGATTTTGCGTTTTCGACTTGCTCCCTCCCTCATCCCCCCCACAGGTTCCGAGTCACAGACTAGGTGCTCGATTCGTCATGGATTTTCCGCGGCCGAGTTTGGTTAATGGTGGTATGAGTAACTGCCTGCCTTGTCGTTTCACCCATGCAGGAATCATCTCCCCCAGATTTTGGGATCACTCCACTTATTCTAATCATCGACTCATCAACAATGTCTCTCCAATTGCCACTTTGACTTGCAATCCTCCACGATTTCTGCTTTCCACGAAACCAACACTTGTCCCCTTCTTTCCATTTAGGTCACATTGTCTAGGTGATGCTCGCAATGTTGAAACTAATCTTCTAAACGATGAAAGCCAATCTGACAGTTTGGAGGAACTTAGGGAGTTACTGCAAAAGGCTACCAAAGAATTGGAAGTTGCTAGGCTCAATAGTACCATGTTCGAAGAAAAGGCTCAGAGAATTTCTGAAACTGCCATATCGCTCAAGGATGAAGCCGCTACTGTTTGGCTTCAGGTTAACACTACCCTTGATGCCATTCGCGATACTGTTGATCAGGAATCTCTTGCTAATGAAGCTGTTCAAAAGGCTGCTATGGCCTTATCTCTCGCTCAGGCTAGGCTTCCTGTTGTTGAGGAATCACTTGAAGAAGCAGCTGTAAGTAGTAATGGTATTCTAGAACCCTCTCAAGACACTGAGAAAACAGATCCTCTTAAAGACAAGGAAGAAGCCCTTTTAGCTGCCAATGATGACATCAAAGAATGCCAACTCAACTTAGCCAGTTGTGAAGCTCAACTGAGTGGTTTGCAGAGCAAAAAAGATGAGCTGCAGAAGGAAGTGGACAAGTTGAATGACTTCGCTGAGACCGTACAGATCGATGCCTTGAAAGCAGAGGAGGACGTTGCTAATATCATGAAACTGGCTGAACAAGCTGTCGCCTTTGAGCTTGAGGCTACTCAACGTGTTAATGATGCAGAGATTGCTTTGCAGAGAGCTGAGAAGTCCCTCTCCATCTCGCAGGACCCAGAAGAAGCTCAAGGCCAACTTTCGGATGGAGAAAATCCTCTCCAGGATGAGGTGTTAGTCTCAAGTAATGTAGAAAGTGGTCGCTATCAGGTTGAAAGAGAATCATTGATACTTGAAGATATCTCAGCGGTGTTGAAGACAGCTGATCATTTGCCTGATTATACTGGTCAGAAGGCTCAAAAGGTGGTAACGCAGCCTTCTGATTCAAGCCATCATGAGAATGGAAAGACAGGCGTAGAGTCCTCTAAAGTGGTCGGATCAGATTCTGAGAAGTCAAAGATTCTGAGAAAACAGGAAACACAGAAAGATCTGCTTAAAGAGGGTTCTTCTCTTAATACACCCAAGGCATCGTTTAACAAATCCTCTCGTTTCTTTTCTGCATCTTTCTTCTCTTCTAGTTCAGATGGGAAAGCGACAGTGTTTGGGAGTCTGGTTGATTCTGTCAAACATCAATGGCCCAAGCTAGTTCTTGGGTTTGCACTTTTCGGCGCAGGGTCAGTTTCAAAATCTACTCTTTGTTTTCACATTTTTTGAACGATCATTTTAGTACGTGAAACTCGATCTTTTTGATGATTATGAGCTTCTTAATTGTTCCAGACTGACATTATACTCCAATGGAGTAGGGGGTAACAATCAGCTGCTTCAACAGCCAGATGTTATCATCACTAGTACAGAAGATGTCTCTTCCAAGAAGAAGCCATTGATCCGGCAAGTGCAGAAACTTCCCAAGAAAATTAAGAAACTGCTTGAGATGATCCCTCACCAGGAGGTATGAATAATCATTCCTTGTTCTTTTAAGTCACACGCAAATTGTATGGAATACACGTTGCAGACTAAAACTTCTGCAATGATAGGTCAATGAGGAAGAAGCTTCGCTTCTCGACTTTTTGTTCTTACTGCTGGCAAGTGTCATATTTGTACCTCTATTTCAGAAAATTCCTGGAGGTAGGCAGGATTCGCTCTCGTTATTTCCCCAGTACATCCATTTCTACAACTTCCATGCTTTCATCAGTCAAAAACATATTTAGTCTCGCAATCATGTTGCATAGAGGTTAATGTGCTGTATTGATGGCTTCATCTGCTTCAATGTGCAGGCAGTCCTGTCCTTGGGTATTTGGCAGCTGGAATTCTTATTGGCCCTTATGGTCTTTCGATTATCCGTAATGTGCATGCAACCAAGGCCATTGCAGAATTTGGAGTTGTTTTCTTGCTTTTCAACATTGGCCTTGAGGTACTATTGGATAGATGTGAATGCTGCGGTTTTGCTTTTGAACTGTGTTTTGTAGAAGAGCCAAAATTATGTTTCCTTTTGATTTGGCAGCTATCTGTTGAAAGACTAAGTTCCATGAAGAAATATGTTTTTGGATTAGGCTCTGCACAGGTGAGTTTGATAAAATCCTCTTATCTCATTCCACATAAGTTTATCCAGGTTCTCTAATCTACATTTTTATTGTTGTATTCTAGGTTCTGGTGACGGCAGCAGTAATTGGATTGATTGCCCATTATGTTACTGGTCAGGCTGGTCCAGCGGCAATAGTTATCGGAAATGGCCTGGCACTGTCTTCCACTGCTGTTGTTCTTCAGGTGAATTTTTGGTTGTATTCAGAATTCTAGATAGAGATATTAATGAAAAGCAAAAAAAAAAAAATGTACTTCGTTTTCAGGTTCTACAAGAACGGGGTGAGAGTACATCTAGACATGGGCGGGCTACATTTTCCGTCTTGCTCTTTCAGGTCGGTTCAGAACAAAGTTCATAAATACTTCTCTGCTGGAGGTTTCTCATCACCTTGTTATCTTTTTCCCGCAGGATCTAGCTGTAGTTGTTTTACTGATTCTCATCCCACTTATCTCACCTAATTCATCGAAAGGAGGGGTAAGTTCATCATTCAGTACGGTTTACTTTTGTGGCAGTTATCTAAGTGAGAGTTTTGACAGTTAATTGCTACTCTTTAGAAGTATCAGTGGTAAAATGCTATGTTTCCAACTGTTCTTCTCAGATTGGGTTTCAAGCAATTGCTGAAGCTCTTGGACTTGCTGCAGTCAAAGCTGCAGTTGCTATTACTGCTATAATTGCTGGTGGTCGTCTTGTAAGTCTCTGATTTCAAAAGAACATAACATTTTTCATGAACTTTCCATGAAAGTTTGCTGTGTTATAATTTAAGGCATTGACATTCTTGTGACACACAGCTTCTTCGGCCAATCTACAAGCAAATTGCAGAAAATCGAAATGCCGAAATATTCTCCGCCAACACACTTCTTGTTATCCTTGGGACTAGTTTACTGACAGCTAGGGTATGACCTTCATCTTTTTGGTACTTGGCGTTTGCCTTTAGTCCCCTATGCCATTCATTCTCTTCTGCTAAATTTCTTCGTTTATATAAATCAGGCTGGACTGTCCATGGCATTAGGAGCGTTTTTGGCTGGTCTACTCCTTGCGGAGACAGAATTTTCCTTGCAAGTGGAATCAGATATTGCTCCATATCGTGGTCTTCTGCTGGGACTCTTCTTCATGACGGTAATTTATGAGTTTATCCATATATTTCTCATTTATGAGAAAGAATCAGGAATTTGTTGATGGTGAAAGGAACTATTTTCTTCTGTTTTTGTGAGATTGTGGTGTTTCTTTCAACTATAAACATATGTAATCACAGGCGTAAGACTAACAAAAGTCTTTTACTCATTTCAGGTTGGTATGTCTATTGATCCGAAACTTCTTCTTTCTAATTTCCCTGTCGTAGTGGGGGCTTTGGGAGTCCTGATAGTGGGCAAGACTATATTAGTCGTTATCATGGGCAAATTGTTCGGAATTTCAATCATATCGGCAATTAGAGCCGGTCTTCTTCTGGCCCCTGGTGGAGAGTTTGCATTTGTTGCTTTTGGAGAAGCTGTCAATCAGGTTTGTTATATATATCATGTATGTATTTATTTCAACTGTTTTTCCCTAGAGGCCTAACCGGTGGCTCTTCCAGGGTATAATGTCACCTCAGTTATCTTCGTTACTGTTTCTTGTTGTGGGAATCTCAATGGCTATCACACCTTGGTTAGCTGCTGGTGGCCAGTTAATTGCATCCCGTTTCGAGTTGCATGATGTTCGAAGTTTATTGCCAGTTGAAAGTGAGGTAGGTGTCTTGATGATACCTCTTTCTTGACTGATTTTGAAATTTAACTCTGTTTCAGTCATGATACCATTTGACTTTAGTGTCGTTCTGAAGCTCGCACAGGAAATCATTTCAACGTATCATGTCTAATCCCTCTTTCTCGACTGATTGTATTTTGCAGACGGATGATTTGCAGGACCACATAATTATTTGCGGATTTGGACGAGTTGGTCAGGTTTATGCTCTTTAGAAGAAAACATCTATGTAAATGGTCTGCATCACATGGTATATTGGACTTTCTAACTTCTTGGCCAATTTTCTATTTGTAACTTGCAGATAATTGCTCAGCTTCTATCAGAAAGACTTATCCCATTCGTTGCCCTAGATGTTAGCAGGTAATGTAACATGGCTCATTCATTACCTGTATCATTTTGGGGTTTCAGATATCATTTTGTTCTCCTGATAACCCGAAAACTTGGGAACTATCAGTAACTTCCACACACACTGAGCACACGTTCTAACTTCTTTGATATACAATTACATATCTCTACGCCCATTCTCCGCTTGTTAGAAGACCTTTCATATATTATTTGCAGTGATAGAGTGACTATCGCGCGCTCCATGGATCTTCCTGTTTATTTTGGAGATGCTGGTAGTAGAGAGGTACAAAAAGAAAAAAGAAGTTGCATCATGGAAAAAGAGTTGTTACAAACTATACCAGCATTTGAACATTACTCTTTACTTGTGCAAACAAACAGGTTCTCCACAAAATTGGAGCTGAGAGAGCATGTGCTGCTGTGGTTGCTTTAGACGCACCCGGAACAAATTACAGATGTGTCTGGGCTCTGAGCAAGTACTACCCCAATGTCAAGACTTTTGTCCGTGCACACGACGTTGCTCATGGTCTTAACCTTGAAAAAGCTGGTGCTACTGCTGTAATGTTCACAAACCCCTTTCACTTCCGACTAGATAAGAAATATTGTTTCTTGGTCGTACATTAAATATCTCGATCACAAAAAAAAAAAAAACTTGGTAGGTTGTACCGGAGACGCTGGAGCCAAGTCTACAGTTGGCAGCTGCTGTTCTTGCTCAGGTAATAAACATAATGGCTCTTGTTTGTGGAAATAATCAATAAACATAATAATGATTAGACACAGTTGAATGATCATTTTGTGGGTTAAAACATTTTTCAGGCCAAATTACCAACATCAGAAATAGCAAACACGATCAACGAGTTCAGAACCCGTCACTTGTCTGAACTAACGGAGGTGCGTTTTAATCTTCGATCAAACTCATACTTTTCTTTTCATTTTTAATAATCCGAATCTGGCTTGGTCTTTGATTAACATGGTGTATCAACGGTAATGGCAGCTAAGCGAAGCAAGCGGAAGCTCTCTGGGCTACGGTTTTTCGAGGACGACGAATAAGCCAAAACCTCAAGCTTCGGATGCGTCTGAGGAGAACCAGATCTTGGAAGGAGGTGATACACTGGCGATCTGATGACCGTTTCATCACTCTAGCAAGAACAAGGAGCTTAACATTCTTCTTGTGGCGGCCATTTCTTTTGCCTGGTAGTTTCTTACTTTGATGGAAAAAATGGAACAGTCTTTTTAGCAGATTAGTCATAAAATATTGTTGATGTTAAACTTCTCTCAGTTTCTTTTGGCAATAATCATATCTTCTGCTTTGATGTTAGCGACATTTGTCTAACTGTACTCTTATTATCAATTTAATAAAATATAGTAAAAGCTAGCGGTGTGATGTATGTGTCTTTGATGCATGTGACGCACTTTTTTTTTATTCCTATCTATCTATACAAACGAAATAGAATTAAATATAGTAATGGCAGAAAGCTCATTGACTTTTTCTCTCATTTCATCAATTCCATGGCAGACTCAAGGTTTGTACTTCCTCTCTCTGTCTATCTAATTTCTCGCCTTGAAATTTCAAAGAAGATATAAAGGTTGACTTGATCGTTTGATTTGTGTTAGCGACAGAGTTGCACTTGTTAGTGGTTCGAACAAAGGGATTGGGTTTGAGATCTGTAGGCAACTGGCTAAAAATGGGATGACTGTGATTCTAACAGCGAGAGATGAGAAGAACGGTCTTGAAGCTGTCGAAAAGCTCAAGAGAGAGAATGGTTTTTCTTCTGATGAAGCCATCCTTTTTCACCTACTTGATGTCTCCAATCCAGACAGCATCGCTTCTCTTGCTTCCTTTGTTAAGACCCACTTCGGGAAACTCGATATTCTGGTAATTTTTATAATTCTTGTCACTGAAAAATCTCTTCTAGTTTTTTTTTTAAATATTTTTGTCTATGATTTATTCAGTTTCACTTGCAGATCTAAGTCAGTTGCAACTCCCTTTCCAACAGATCACACTTGTTAATTAAATTAGACAGGATCTCATATATCTTTAGTGCTAAAAAAATCTTATGTGAGCTTTTTTTTTTGTTTCTTCTGATTTCTTTACTTGGTATGATAATATATCTCCAGGTCAATAATGCCGGAGTGGGAGGGGCGAATGTTAATGTCGATGTTCTCAAATCTCAAATTGCGGAGGTACTGTTTTCCCCCTAAAAACTTCCATCTCATTCAAGAAAATTGTAGAAGGAAGCTTCAGAGAGGTAATAATATTGTACAGGCTGGTGCACCTACCGATATTTCAAAGATAATGAGCGATACGTACGAGGTAGTGGAGGAGGCTATCAGGACGAACTACTACGGGGTAAAGCGAATGTGCGAGGCCATGATTCCTCTCCTTGAAGCGTCTGATTCTCCAAGAATCGTCAACATTGCTTCCACCATGGGAATGTTACAGGTAACACTTCATTTCCCTCACTCAAAGTACTTAACTTTTAGGTAAGACTAGTAGTAAGGATCATGTTAGCATATGGGCTTTGCTAGGTAAGCGTAATAAACCTTTCTTATTGTTTGTATTTCTATACTTGACTGCAGAATGTGTCATATGAATGGGCCAAAGCAGTGCTGAGTGATGCTGATAATCTAACGCAAGAGAAAATAGATGAAGTGATGAAGGAGTACCTCAAGGATTACAGAGAAGGCTCATTGCAAGACAAAGGTTGGCCAACAGTAATGTCTGGATACATACTATCGAAAGCTGGAGTGATCGCACTGACACGAGTTTTGGCTAAGCAGCACAAATCATTCATCATCAACTCAGTTTGTCCTGGTTTCGTAAACACAGACATCAACTTCAACACAGGGATTTTGACAGTTGAAGAAGGCGCTGCGAGTCCTGTGAAGCTGGCTTTGGTCCCTAATGGACACCCGTCTGGTCTTTTTTTTGACCGCTCCAATGTCTCCAACTTTTGAACAGTACAATGTTGTGTGGATGTGTAAAATGGGTTCCATTCCCAACCAAATAAGGCAAATAAGATTGTAATTCGCTTCTAGTACTTGTTGTTAATAAGAAGCCCAATATATTAATCAGCTTAAGAAATACTTATATGTTAATAAATAGCCCAATATATTAATCAGATTAAGAGTTACATACAGCCCAATGGGCCTTTTGATAAGGTTACAAGACATAACTAAACGGTTATATAAACGTTGCATCGAAATCCGTTTGGTTTACCGCCGGTGAAAGAAGCTTCTGAGCTTTCCTCTCTCAAGCTTCTCGAGAAGTTTATCGGCTCCCATCACTTCCATTTCCGAAAGCTTCTTCAGATAGCCGATAGCTCCGTACGAAACCATCACTCTCTTACTCTTCTCGCTTCCCGCCAATTCCGTAAGCGCCGCCACAGCGTACTTCTTGGCCGTGTTTCCAGGGTTCGAATCCAGCAGCATCACCAGATTCGTCACGCTCTTCCCGTCTCTCCTCAACTCCCGTCTTATTCTCCCCTCCGTCACCAATCCTGCTATTGCTTGAGCTGCCGCTTCTCTACATCCGTTTGATTTGGACTCCAGAAGCTTAACCATCACCGGAACACACCCTGACTCTCCCACTAGCCTCTTCGTCTCCGGTGAGCTACAGAAACGACAGACCGCCGATGCCGCTGCTTGTTGCGCGCCTAACGATCCTGAACTTAGCACGTGCGCTAATCGTGGAAGCAAGTTGAGAGCCATCCACGTCTCTGTGTCTACCGACGGGATTAGATTCCTCAGAGCCGTAACCGCCGGTTCTTGCGGAAGAGGACCGTCGATATAAGCCAAGAGGCTCTTGACTCCGCCTTCCGAAACGATGGCTTCGCGTAGAGCTTCGGTGGATGCAGTGAGATTCTGCAAACACTGAGCCATGTGTTCTCTCGATCCCAACAGTATCCCGTTGTTTAGAAGATGTATCGACACTCCCACCATCCCTTCCTCCGCTAGTAACTCTCTCAGCTCCGCAACTCCCGATATGTTCTTCAGCGCAGCTGCACTAGCAGCTTGCGACACTGAATCCCCCGTCTTGCAGAGCTCCATCAGCGGCGTGATTCCTCCTTGTCCTGCGATTTCCCGCGCGTTTTCCTCTGTTATGGACAGTCTCTGGATGGCGATCGCAGCTTTCTCTTTGGCTTCGAGGCTTCCTGATTCGATAAGCCGAACCAGAGGAGGCAACACACCTTCGGAGACGAGCCACTCGTCGCAGTGTCCTGATTCCGCTAGTACACTGATCAGAGTCACCGCTTTTTCTCTTATTCTTGTTGCTCCGGTTAGTAACTGAACCAAAGCTGCCACGTTGGCTCTTCCCATCAAAGGCATCACCATCTTTTCATCTTCTTGCATCACACGGATCAGGTTTTCTAGTGCGTTCTGTTTTGATTCCGAGTGGCCTATCTGAAGCCTCGCTAGAAGTTCCTTTAGGCTTGAAATTTTGGGTGTTTCTGATGAGCTTGAGATGTATAGAGGCAACGTTGCTTCACCTAGAACTCCGGTCTTGATCAGAACCATACAGTCTCTTAGATTCAAATCCAGTTTGCCAGACAAGGCATCGAGATTGCTCTGCATACGGAGCTTCCCTTCGTAGTTTTCAGTTAAACACAACTCGGCGAGCTCCATGGCTTCGTTGAGTGTTTTAGCCACGGACTGCAACTGCTCGTTGCAGAGCTTGTTCTTGGAGAAACAAGGGTGGCTTGAGAGGTCAGATAAACAGCCTGGGATCTGTCGGATCTTTGAGATGATTGTCTTCCATCTTCCACTGAAATTTGGAACCGTTTTGGATTTTTGGAGGACTGATGGTATGAGAGAATGGACGTGGGAGAGCCATTCTTCTGCTGATTGTCTATATATGACCAACTGCTTAGATTGCTGCTCTTCTCCAACAAACTTTCCCATGCTTCCTAATTCTGCCATCGTTCCCATCTGAATACAGATCAAAAGCTTTACTCGAAAAGAAGTTTACCTCATCTGAAACTGAAGTTCCGCCAGATCTTATCAGTGATCAACTGCACTTGATGATTGGAGTATCAAAGTTTTCTCTTTCTTCTTCTTCAAGGACAATTTCAGATCAGGAGACAGATTACCTGCAAATAGAGATTAAGAAAGATCAGAACTTTATGGAGTAGAAAACAAAAACCCAAAATTTTTTTTATAGAAATTAGTGAAAACAACATGTAACAGAATAAAGAAGGAATGAAGTTTCTTCACGACATATCAAATCGAGTGGTTTCTAGATGCAGTCTCTCATTAAATGCATCTCACTCTCACTCCGCTAATATTATTTAGTAGAAGTATATAACATATGGTAATGAGAATAACACTAGTAAACTCATTGACAGCCACGAAATATACTCTCACTCTCCACAAAAAGAAACCAATCATTGTCAATGCCAAAACTTTCCAATACTCAGCAGTTGTGATTGGAGCAAATTCAAAAGAGGGAAGGTGCAAGTTGTAGTTTTGGTGAATGAATTTGGTGATGGATAGTAACAGGGGGTAATTAAGGTTAAATCTCGGGTGAGTGAGGATCAATAAATTTAAGAGCAGACTTTTCTTTGAAGACAAGTCAACGCCCAAAGTCTTAATTCATTAGACACCCACTTGCAGTAAGCATTAACCAAATGATGATCATCCTACAAAGAGGATTTATTCGGGTGTTTTACCTTGTTGGGTTTTTAGCTGTTGACTTTGAAGATTATGCATCCATTGAGAAACACAACTTAGGACTCTGAAATACACAGAGAGATTCTGTAAGTGTATGCATGTACAACAGAGGTAAGGAAGATTTTATTGAATTGTTATTGATCTTTCAAGTCAAACACAAAAGCATGGGGGGGGGGGGATAAGATCAGAAACAAGAATCTAAAAAAAAAAATTGTGTGTGTTTAGAGACTGATGAAGGCCAGAAATGAGATAAATTACTTACTTTCCGAATTACAGAATTGTCTGTATCGGTGAGCAAAAGCAATAACTTTGGCCAAAGAAATGCAAAATGAGTTTGAGATCACTACTTTTTTGTTTGTTTTTGTTTTATCATCACTTTAGCTTTTTTTTTTTTACTTCTTGTGACTACAACCGCAAAGAAGAAGCAGACCTTTAAGAAGATTCAGAATCTTAATATAATTATCATTCTTTTATTTTTTTGGTTACCGAAAGAAACAAAAGGATTTTAACTTTAGAGGTGTTCTTTTAAACCCAGGAAAAAAAAGCCAATGAATGAGAGAAGTAGATTCGAAATCGTGGATTTGGAACTTTGTGTTTGCTTTGGAATCAGAATGAATGAATTAATTTTGATAAACCACTTCTTGAATGAAAGATAATCAAATCAAATTATGGGAGAAAAGTATTTTTAGAAGAAAAGAGACATGAGATTCAAAACATTATTTTCGTGAATAATACTTACTTGCTTATTCGCCCAAAATGTTGATTATGTGATGATGAAGAAGAAGAAACTAAATAAAGCTGGGGGAGCTGTTGAGCGATCTTAGCAGAGAAAAATACAAACACAAAACTGCTCACTTCTCTTCCTAAAAAAAACTATAAAACACAAGCACCTGCTCCTCTCCTCCTCTTCCTGTCTTCTTTTGCTAATATATTTAAATATTTGAATATTTTCAAATCACAACACCATCTAGAGAGAGAGAGAATATTAATTAAAAGGTCCAAAGTAGGACAGAGTACAAAACTAAAGACGACTTCGATCAAAATCCGATCCTGTTTAAAATCCTTTTTCCTTTACTTTGCTTATTTACTTTCTTCAAAAAATTTGAAACTTATGAAAACATAATATATTACAGTACTGTCTGGTCGATCTGCTCCCAAGAAAAGGCCTACTCCCTTAAAAGCGGTAACTTTTTCCTTTTAGGGATCCAACGGCCGTGATTGATCTTACCAGATTTCATTTGACCCGTTAGATCTGTTTAACGTTACACACTCTTGTCGTCTCTTGTTTGTAGGACCGTTCGATCTGCTTAGAACTGAACTACTTTACTGGGATTTGCTACGTGTTGCTCCGATTTCAATTTTTCTGAATCGAAAGAGTGAATGCTCCAATTACAATCATGTGCTTGTACTTCAGTAATATTACAAAAACACCACACATAGTAGCATGTGCGACTCGCGTGAGCTAAACAAACGATTAGTCTTTCTTTTGTTCCTCGAATAACTCTCTAATATGTGACAAACAACTGTTATTATCTTTTAAACAATGGTTGCTTCACGTGACATGATTCTTTATTCTCGTCGTATCTGATCAATTAAAAAGTCTTAAAATAAAGAAACTGTGGTTAATAACTTTTTAAATTAAAAACCCCTATATACATTGACAACTAGTATATTTCGAATGAGAATGGTAAACTCTTGAATCGCCAATAAAAAAAAACAGACTTCGTTTGGTGAATAACTTTAGATTATGATGTAATTACACTTCTTTAAAGAGTGAATGCATGAATGTGCTAGTTGATTTAAATGTTATCGTAACAATAATTTGAAATTCAATTTGGCCATGTGATGTCGCTTTTAAACTACTTATTATATTTCCAGATCATTAAATGCAGAAAAATATAGACATCCACACGTAGAAAAAGAAAGTGTACATGCAATGTAAATGATTGCATAAAAGCCAAACATATAGTACCAACATAATTCATTCACAACCTTTATTTCACTCTGGTGTTATTGCAAAGGACGACCATATAAAATCATCAGATGGTTGTGAGCTTTTCATCTGGGAACGAATCTATCAATCATGGATTTGGAATTGAAGGGATCCATTTTAGAAAATATAGGACACAGATTACAAACCTCGCGAGTAGGCTTTAATTGAACAAGTAAAGCCCATTTATAAAAGAGCAAAATAACAGGCCCAAAAAGACAGTATTTAGTCTCCTCCTCCGACCAAACTCTGCTATTTGCTGCCGTGACTCCCGTGTTTTGTTTTATAGGAGAATCTAAACACACACAAAATATCTGGAGAAAATTTAGAGAGAGAGAGAGAGAGGTAATGGGAAACAGAGAGCAAGTAGCTGAGCTGATATCATCGCTGGAGAAAGCAACTCTGTTGTCTCATCAAATCGGAACCGCAGTGGAACGAAACCAGCTCCTTCAAATCTCCTCTTCTCTTCGCATAGCCCACCACCGCCTCTCCACCTTGCTCCTGTCCACCGTTTCATCCGATAACTCCGTCTCCTCGGTCGATCCGATGCAATTAGGGGAGGGGGAGGGTGAAGCGGCGGAAGATGAGAGAGATTCGGCCGTGGAGAAGGTGGAGGAGAAGATGAGAGAGTGTTTTATAAGGAACAAGAGAGCCAAGCGGCCACTTTCTCCGTCGTCCGCAGTGATGGAGACTTCGGCGACAGGAGAAGAGAGGAGTAGCCGTGATTATTATTATGGGTTCGATTTGGACCCAAATGCATCCAAGTTGAGAGCTTTGGATCTTATCTATCAATTTCATGGATAGTAGATTTTTGTTTTTAAAACTCAAATGTTAAGAAGCTTTCGTGATTGTAAAGACATTTATCATTTTGGTAATAACAGTTTTACATTATAAAGACAGTGAGTTGTACAAGAAGAAGATTTGGTATGTGTGTTCTGCTTACTTCCTGTTTATATGGACTTTCTCAACATTTTTTTCTCTTTCCCATTAAATGCAGAATTCACCTTGTTTTGTGGGATTGAATTCGGCTGTTTTTGTTGCTAGGAAGCAGACTAAAGAGAGTTGTAGGCTACCAAAGAGAAGAAACTTTTGGGTGGATGATAGTCCCTAGGGTGCTTCTATCTGAATGTTACAGCAGCATCAACTTGCATGGACCACAAGACCGAAAGCGGGTATATATGTATTATGTAACTGGTAGCAATTCGTTGTCTTGTGATGCACAAGTTTGGACAAGTAAAATATAGAACTGTATATATACCTTTTAGCAGAGGAAATAAATTTCTCCCTTGGAAACTCTGAAATTGTTGACGATAAGGTTAAAATGCTCCCTCTTCTGAGTTCAGCTGAAGAAATTTGCTGGCAGAATCAAAAAAAAAAAACTCTGAAATTGTATTCCGGTTCTTGAAACAAAAGGAAGTTGCACAGTGAAAAAGAACCTTGTTAACGATTCACCACAATATCTACAACAACACTAAAATGGCATATCATGGAACAGGTAGATAGATACCTGAATAGAAGTTGACCAAAATGTTGATGGGTAGGTATTCAGATGTTCGCAACGCTGCCATCATCTTAATATTATTAGCCAAACAAAATTGTTATATATGATATTGTATATGAGATGATTCTTTTGAACAACAAATGTTGGTTAACCTGGAGTAACAGAACAACTTGTGAGAAGATGTCACCCATAGGAAGGAGAAGCTTGACAACATCACTACTTATATTAAAATATGGGCACACATGAACGAGACGTTGAGAACTGTATGTATCTAACTTTTCTATGAGTGGAAAAGGATTATCTTTTTTTTTTAATTCGAATTAAAAACATCTCAATCTCAAAGCATAAGGTGCTGTGGTGTAGTGGTTATCACGTTTGCCTTACATGCAAAAGGTCTCCAGTTCGCTTACATAATCACAATGTTGGTGCTGTGGTGTAGTGGTTATCACGTTTGCCTTACACGCAAAAGGTCTCCAGTTCGATCCTGGGCAGCACCATATCATTCTTTTTAACTTTTTGGTAAAAACCTTTATAAATTTGAAAAAAAAACGAAAAGGCTTATTTGTTGACCCAGTATGTAGATCGTCCAAGACCCTTCTTGGTGTATACATGAAGAACTTGTAAAGAGCCAATTATTTGGTGTATAAACACCAATTATTGGGTGTATTACATCTCCTTCCTCTTTTAAATGTGTTGAATTAAATGGGGGAAGATATGATGAATATCTGACGTTCATAGGAGTAGAATAGTACTATACATAATCACAATGTTGGTCGTCGTCGTCGCTTACGTGTCCCAACTTGCCTTTAAAGCCAAGTCGAAACAGATGCTCGGAGAGAGAGAGAGATCGAGGGTGAGTGAAGTGTGAACAAGCAATGATTATAATCATAGAAGAAGAAGTGTGAAAGTATTGAAGATGTCATATTATGATAATGAGTAATATTAAGTCACGCCCCAATTATCATGGCATTGTCCCCCCCCCCCCCTCATTTAATGTCCTCACCTACCGGCGGTGGAAGCTGCATCTCCCCTCCAGATACCAAAACTACTACTCCACCTGTTTTTCTCTCTTTCTCTATTATTAGTACGAACAACTTATACATTTATTCAACCATAATTGGATTTACACTAAACAGGTATATACTTTTCTATATATATCGCAGTATCAATTATAAATCCAGGTTTCCAGTGTTTCGGCTAGTTATAAGATATGATATCACGCTACAATATTCAATGTTTTTTACTTGCTAATGTATATATGGTGATGATAAGGAATTATATACTACCACTATGACTTGTATGACACCATAAGTTATGTGCATTATATAGTTCACAAATTAACGAGTATATAGCTCAGCTTCATTGTGGTTTGCTTGCAACATAAACCCATGATTTGTGAAAGGATGCATAATCAACCAACTAAAGCATTTTTACGGATCAAAGGCTAAATTTATCACTCACTCTTCATATCCCAATCAATACGTGTGTATATGCTTGCTTGCTTTTATTGGTAAAATATAAATGAACCCACGACTCTTATAATTAAAAGCCAACATTTAAGTAACAAACGCACATAACAGCGACAGTTACAAGCTAATATATCACGTATTTCATTGAGTTAAAACTTTTTTTATAATTGTTCTTTTGAGGTCACATTTTCCTCAGCTTACCGCTCCACAGTATTCACACGTCACCTCATATCTTTTCATGTGTTTATAAACACAGAGAGACGAGTCGTGAGAATCATAGATACGTCCACCTAGTTATTTAATGCTCTTCTTTCCTTTTTACGACAACCATCCCATGATGTTCGCCAGATCGTTACTCTTCCTCTTCTTCGTTTCCATCTCCTTCACATCAAATGCTTCTTCCCTTAAACAAACCTACGTGATCCACACTGTCAAAGCCAATACCAAACACATCGTTACTTCACTTTTGAATTCACTTCAGACAGAGAATCTTAACGATGATTTTGCCCTCCCCGAGATCCACTACATTTACGAAAATGCCATGTCCGGGTTCTCCGCGACTCTCACCGACGACCAGCTTGAGACAGTGAAGAACTCAGAAGGGTTTATCTCGGCCTATCCAGACGAGCTCTTATCTCTACACACAACACATTCTTACGAGTTTCTTGGTCTCGAGTTTGGGGTGGGACTTTGGAACGAGACGAGTCTAGCCTCGGACGTTATCATCGGCGTTGTGGACACAGGGATCTCGCCGGAGCACGTGAGCTTCCGAGACACGCACATGACTCCAGTCCCGTCTAGATGGAGAGGTTCGTGCGATGAAGGTACAAACTTCTCTTCTTCGTCGTGCAACAAGAAGATCATTGGAGCTCGCGCTTATTACAAGGGGTACGAATCCATCGTTGGAAAAATCAACGAAACCACGGATTTCAGGTTAGATATATATATATGAGTTGAAAATTCAATGAATATAGTATTAATAATGTGAAGAAAAAACTTGGAGCTTTACATGCAAAACGAATTCTGTAATATCAAGATCCATAAAATAGGCGTAGTTTTTTTTTTCTTTTATTACTAAGGGTTATTAAATTAACACTATAGCATAGGTCTTAGCAGCTGAATACACTTTTATTTGGTTATTTTGAAGATTTGATGGTTAAGTTGTGATTGCATAGGTCGGCACGAGATGCACAAGGACACGGGACGCATACAGCATCTACAGCTGCTGGAAGCATTGTCCGGAAAGCAAGTTATTTCGGGCTAGCAAAGGGCCGTTTCGCAACGGGAATGAGGTTTAGTTCGAGGATAGCTGCTTACAAAGCTTGTTGGGCTTTAGGTTGCGCCAACACCGACGTATTGGCAGCCATTGACCAAGCCATCTCAGACGGCGTCGATGTGATTTCTCTCTCGCTTGGTGGATCTTCACGTCCTTTTTACGTGGACCCCATCGCCATCGCTGCTTTTGGAGCGATGCAGAAGAACATTTTCGTTTCTTGCTCTGCTGGTAACTCGGGTCCAGCTAAATCCACAGTGAGTAACGGAGCTCCTTGGCTGATGACCGTTGCCGCTAGTTATACAGACAGAACGTTTCCGGCGATTGTCCGGATCGGGACGGGTGAAAAGTTAGTTGGATCGTCCTTGTATAAAGGGAAAGGCTTTAAGAATCTGCCTTTAGCGTTTAACACAACTGCCGGAGGAGGAGGAAGCGCCGGGGCAGAGTTCTGTATTAGGAACTCGCTCAAGAGAGAGCTTGTGGAGGGTAAAATCGTCATTTGCTTGAGAGGAGTCGGGGGCAGAACGGCAAAGGGAGAAGAGGTGAAAGAGAAGGGCGGTGTAGCGATGCTTCTGGTGAGCAGAGAGACGGAAGGAGAGGAGCTCCTAGCCGATCCTCACGTTTTACCGGCGGTTTCGATCGGATTTTCTGACGGAATAGTCTTGCTGAAGTACCTCGCGGGAAACGCCACCTTCGCATCAATTGGATTCAGAGGAACAGAGTACGGTGCCAGAGCTCCGATCGTCGCGGCTTTCTCATCAAGGGGACCTAGTGTCGCCGGACCGGAGATAGTTAAACCGGACATTTCAGCACCCGGTTTGAACATCCTAGCCGGTTGGTCGCCGTTCTCGAGCCCTAGCCTCCTGAGGTCAGACCCGAGGCGCGTCCAGTTCAACATCATTTCTGGAACCTCCATGGCTTGTCCACACATCACCGGAATCGCCGCTCTTATCAAATCCGTTCACGGAGATTGGTCACCGGCCATGATTAAATCGGCGCTCTTGACGACGGCGAGCACCACCGACAACAGGAATCAACCGATCCGAGATATGGGCGCGGGACCCAATTCGGCGGCAACAGCGTTTGATTTTGGAGCGGGACACGTGGACCCAACGAGAGCGGTAGATCCGGGACTGGTATACGACCTCTCAACCGTTGACTATTTGAACTACTTGTGCAGCTTAAATTACACAAGCGAGAGAATACTCTTGTTCTCCGCCACAAACTACACGTGTCCTTCTAGTACTGGTGATTTGAACTATCCGTCCTTCGCGGTGAACTTGGCCAATGGCGCGAAGTTGAACACGGTGATATCGTACAAGAGGACTGTGACGAACGTTGGGTCGCCGGCGTGTGAGTATATGGCTCACGTTGAGGAGCCAAAAGGCGTGAAGGTGAGGGTGGAGCCCATGGTTCTAAAGTTTCAAAAGGTTCGTGAGAGACTGAGTTATACGGTGACGTTTGTTGCAGAAGCAGCAAGAGATTCATCTTCTTCCTTTGGAGCTTTGGTTTGGATAAGTGACAAGCACAAGGTCAGAAGCCCAATTGCAGTGACGTGGGAGTAATATTCTGTTTTTCTTTTTACTGCCATATTTATTTATTACCAAAGAAATCAATTACCTGATTTTTAAAATATTTGATGAACAAAAGCTTACCGTAACTTGTAAGATTTTGAGAATAACTATCTATATATCATGCTGTTTTAAAAAACGATCTATCTTTTTTCGCTTACAAAAAGATAGTAACATATAATTCATTTTCTGTTAAAACAAGTTCATAATATATTTGGTTGAAGAAATTTAACTCAAATGGTATTAACTACGAGATCTAATTCCTATCATTATGGCAGATAAAAATATTAAAAAAAAAATCTTAACTAAATGAAAAGTAGATAGGAAAATTGGGAAAGAGAGGAAGAGTACACGTGGCAAAGCGGTAGAAAAGGAACGGGCTAAATAAAGTGTCATGCAAAAGAAGGGGAGATTGGGGAATAGCCGGTTGTTTCTGCGTTAACGT